CGGGAGGGTTGCTTGAGCTAGAGGTTGAAGCTGCAGTGCACTGGGGTCACTCCAGCCTAGGCGGCGAGCAAGGCCTCGTTTTTGTTTTTGCTTTTTTTAAGGCGGCCGGGCACAGTGGCTCACACCTGTCATCCCAGCTACTTGGAAGACTGAGGCAGAATTGTTTGAACCCAAGAGGCAAAGGCTGTAGTGAGCCTAGCCTGCGCCACAGCACTCCTGCCTGGGCGGCAGATCGAAATCCATCTCAAAAAAGGAAGGCAAGAGGCAGGAGGCGACGGAGGATCGTGGGGAGGAGCGTGCAAGCCAGGCTGGGGGCTCTGCTAAGAGCAGCTGTTGCTGGGTGTGGGTTGGATACAACTCAGAGGGGAGCCCAGGAGGATGTGGGCCAGGGGTCTCCACCTAGCTTGGATGGGGCTGGGCCTGCTATCAGCTGGGGTGGCGGACAGGCAGGCCCCCTGGTAACATCCAGCAGTGGTCGGACCAGCCGTGAGCCCTGTCCAGGAAGCAAACGCTGTATGAGGCTACGCAATTCCTTTTGCCTCCATTCCATCCGTCACCTGCAGGGCGAGGGTGACAGTCCCCATCTCACAGGGCACAGGGGCCTAGTGCCCTTTAGGCTGCAGCCTGGCCTGTGTGGGGAGGGGAGGAGAGGGGAGCAGGAGCACCAGGAGGTGAGGGCTTAGCCCCAGAGGCTCTGTGGGTCCCTCCTCCATCCATGGACAGTGGCAAGAGGACATCAGGGTGTGGGGAGCTGAGGGTCTCAGGAGCACCAGCTGGGAAGCTGCCCCTGAGCGTCTTGCCTCAACCTCACCCCAGATGGGGGGCAAGACCCGGACCAGGCGCCAGCCACTGTCCCACCTCGCCTCCACTCCTCCTTCCACATGGAGGGTGAATCTGCCCCTGCCCCTGCAGTGGGGAGGGTGAATCTGCCCCCCGCCCCCGCGCTGTGTGGAGGGGAAGGTTGTCAGGTGTTTTCGAGCCACCCCGCTGGAGGTCAGGGTCACTAACTTGGTCCTTAAAACTCTTACTGTCCCTCCTTGGGCAGGGTCCTCGCAAGGCTGGCTGGACCAGGACATGAGCGGATGTGACCCGGCTGTGTATGCGCCTGAGCATGGCAGGCAGAGAGCAGTCGCCCGGCATGAGGTGACATCACAGCAACATCCCGGCAGGAGCGGTGCCATGCAGGCCGTCCGAGATGCAGCCTGGCCCACGGGAGCAGAGGGATGGCTGGGACCGCACTGCAGGTGCCACTTGTGCACAGAAGGCCGGTGACCACATGCACAGGTTCCCCCAGCCCCTAGGCACACAGGGGGACACACGCTTACAAATGGCTCAGAACCTCAGGGAGTCAGAGAACTGCAGACCCCCAAGTGCCACAGGGGCCAGGGAGGTGGGGTGGAGCCAAGGCCTTGGCTGCCAGTGGTCCCCCCACCCCTTGAGTGCCTGTAGGTGGTAGGAATCCTCAGAGTGGAATGGCTGCAAGCCAGGGTGCAGGGCCTGGCTGGGGAGGGCACAGCCACCCACCCCAGGTCCGGAGTCCCCGGCAGGGTGTTTCCCATGGAGTGTTTTCCATGCGGCCCCTGGGGCGGACACCAGTATCGGGATTGCAGAGGTGCTGGGTATGTGCTCATGTGAGCTTCGTCGCCCGCTCCTAGACCCCTCGCAGCAGGTGCCAGCCCTCTTCCTGCCGCCCCCAGATCTGGGCCCCTTTGGCTTCCTATAGTCTGGGCAGGGGGTTCTGAGCTCTGCCCTTCGAGGCTGACCATGGGGCCGGGGGTCCTTGGGGACTGAGCCCACTCGTCACTGCAGTCTGAAGTGGGTTGGGACAGCACTCGACACTGCGGAGGAAGTGGGTTGGGACAGCTACACAGGTGCTTTCCCTCCACCTTTAACTTCTAGTCAAATAACTCCGGCACAGGACCGAGTCCCCTCAAGCAACACTGAGGCATTTAAAGACATAGACCCCAGGCCTGGTCCCCAGCCTCCAAGTGGCCTGTGGCTGTAGGGTCAAGGCAGAGGCTTAAGGATGACCTTGAAAATAAAAAAATTAAAAGCAGAGGCAGCGCGGACACCTGTCCTGCATAGCCCTTTGGTTCTTCTGGTCTTTGAAGAAGAAATTGCTGATGTTAGGGTTAGACTGTGCAATTGCTCATTTTCAGAGAACTGAAAACACTCGACTTCAACTCAGAATCAGATTTCTAGGCTTCTGCCCACGTGTGGTTCCACTGGTGTCCTGCAGGGCTTGTGAGCCGTCCAAGTGGTGCTGTCTCCTGAAGGGCCGCGGGGCAGCGTGGGCTGGGTGTGCTGCCCGTTCTAGCCCAAGAGCCATGCCCCGGCCTTCTCCCCAGGTCTCACTTTCCTTATGGAAAGTCGAGACACCAGCCTCTCACCAAGTACCGTTGCGCTTTCGGTCCAGACTCTTCCCTGGTTCGGATGCTGGGCTGGCCTCTGGGTGTGGGGGCTGCTGCGCTGAGGAGCTGGGGCCGCCGAGTTGGATGCTGGGCTGGCCTCTGGGTGTGGGGGCTGCTGCGCTGAGGAGCTGGGGCCGCCGAGTCGGATGCTGGGCTGGCCTCTGGGTGTGGGGGCTGCTGCGCTGAGGAGCTGGGGCCGCCGAGTCGGATGCTGGGCTGGTCTCTGGGTGTGGGGGCTGCTCCGGTGAGGAGCTGGGGCCGCCGAGTCGGATGCTGGGCTGGCCTCTGGGTGTGGGGGCTGCTTCAGTGTGGAGCTGGGGCCGCCGAGTCGGATGCTGGGCTGGCCTCTGGGTGTGGGGGCTGCTTCAGTGTGGAGCTGGGGCCGCCGAGTCGGATGCTGGGCTGGCCTCTGGGTGTGGGGGCTGCTTCAGTGTGGAGCTGGGGCCGCCGAGTCGGATGCTGGGCTGGCCTCTGGGTGTGGGGGCTGCTTCAGTGTGGAGCTGGGGCCGCCGAGTCGGATGCTGGGCTGCCGCCGAGTCGGATGCTGGGCTGGCCTCTGGGTGTGGGAGCTGCTTCAGTGCGGAGCTGGGGCTGCCGAGGGGCTGCCGAGGAGCTGCCGCCCCAGGGCTCTGGATGCGCCTCCCCGCTCTGCACTGCTCTCACTCCAGCTTCACTCATCTGGGCCCGAACAGAGTGGCCTCCTGAACTGAGGGGAGGCAGGCGAGGGCCACAGCCACCTCTTTCCCTAGCCTGGACCGTGACACCCCAGGTTCCCAACTCCAACAGGACAGAGCCAGGTGATGGGCTGGTGTGCACCTGAGGGCTGGATTCAGTCCCTCCATCCCCCTGGAGGTCTGGACATCAGGCTGGGGACAGGGAGTCCCTGTCCAACGCCCTGGGGGAGCAGCTCAGAGGCCCCCCACTCCCCCCTGCCCCCAGCTGTTCCTTGCTGCATGATCTGAGGCTGGTTCTGCAGCTGTCCCCTCCAGCACCCTCAGCCCAGGCCAGTCCAACGGGTCTTGGGGTTTGCTGCATGTCTCTCCTGTGGGACTCCTAGAAGGGTGCAAGAATCCGGGCCGGGCGTGGTGGCTCAGGCTGGTAATCCCTGCACCGTGGGAGGCCGAGGTGAGCTCAAGAGTTCGAGACCAGCCTGGGCAACGTGGCAAAACCCCATCGCCACTAAAAACACAAAAATTAGCTCATTGCGGTGGTGCACGCCTGTGGTCAGGGGACTAACGTGGGAGGATCACTTGAGCCTCAGAGGCTGAGGCTACAGTGAGCTGAGATCACACCAATGTACTCCAGCCTGGGCGACAGAGAGACCGTACCTCAAAAACAAAAAATCCAGTTTCTGCAATCCCACGGGCCACCCCCTCCAGCTGACACCCCCCACCTGTCCCATCGGCACATCGTGCTGGCTGTCTTGGCCGTCCTGGCCCCCCCACCTCCCCGGCTCACACTTGCAGTCTATGGTGACGTCTGCACATGGCCTGGTCTCACTAGGTTTCCTGGTGTCCTGAAGGCTGGGGCAGGCCCCTGGGCTTGAGTGCCCAGGGAGATGGATGAGCGCAGGCCCCCACCACAGGGGTGTGAGGACTTGGGACCCCCAGATAGGACTGGTCAGGCTGTCCTGGGGCAGCTCCCTGTGGTGTGTGAGGTGGAGGCTGCCAGTCCCAGGAGGCCTCCTGTACCCCACTACTGCTACCAGCCAGGGCACGGCAGGGGGAGCGTGGGCCTGCAGAGGGCAGGGCTGGTGCTGGCTGACAAGGGACCCTCGGGCAAGACCTGAGACCCTGAGGGAGGACCCGGGGGCTGGTCCTGGGCCCATTCCTTCCTGCTCAGTGGGCCACACTTGGGGGCAGATGGCATCTGTTCTGGATGTGGCCCCCAACAGTGTCTTGAAGGATGAGGAGAGGCCGAGGAGGGTGCTGAGGTGGCTGCCGGGGACCCTGGGAGGGGCAGGACAGTGGGGGCAGACTGAGCGGTTCTCCCCACCTGATAATTTTGGGGGAGCTTGAGGGAGGGGCAGGGCTTCCTGCTACCAGGCCTGACCCAAACACCTTCCCGGAGAAATGGAAGGCAGGCCAGGGTGGCAGTGGTGGCCCCAGAGCCCCTAACTCTGCGACCAGCAGCTGCTGGAAGGATACTGCCCAAACCCCACAGCCACCTGCATGTGAGTGTTGGTGTCTCCCCTTATGAGCCACCTTGTTTCAGAGTGGAAGGAGGTGCTGTCCTTCCAGTGCACAGAGGAGCAAGCTGAGGCCGGCCCAGGTCCGTGGGACCAGCGTGCCCTTTCCACCACGCCAGATGCCGGGCAGGTGTCCGGGAAGGAGGTCAGAGCTCCGCCTTATCTGCTCTGGACAAAGCCACAGATTTGCGAGCCTGGCCCCAGGAACTCCCTTCAGGTCAGAGGCTGCAGGGGAAACTGAAAGCAACTTGCGGCTCCCAGTGGGAACAGCCAGGGCAGGCCCTTCACTGCGAATCACACAGAGCAGCAAGCACGTCTTGGCCGGGCAGCCCCGAGGGGTGTGGCAGGATGGAGGCCCACTCACCCGGGGCCCAGCCTGTGAGAGACAGTGCGGTCAGAAACCGAGACTCCATAATCAGGTTTATTTTCCTCTAACAAGACAGTTTAGCATTTCCGCATTCTACAGTCTTACAAACTTCAGTTATTAGCATAAGAAACACAAAAACATTGCAAGACCTCAAAACACAAATAAATACCAAATAAAACCACACGTAATATACAGTAAACAAAAATAGAAAACAGTAATGCTATCAGAAAGTCAGGCGTGTTGCTAGCTCACAGCAACAACATGATTATTGCTGCGGCAGTAACCGACGGTCTTTTTGTTTTTTCTTAGAAGAGCAGAAAAACGGGACCCGAATCACTGGTCGCGATCACTTGGACTGCCAAGGTGTGTCCTCACGCAAGCGCTTACTACAGACGCAAGTGTTAAAACAGGCAGATTAAAAATACAGGGTCGAATGCGAGATTGGCCTTCTTTGGTCTTTGTTTTTGGGTGACAGGGCCGAACAGACGCACCGGCAGGGAAGAGCCTGAGGTTCCGAGGTGCCGCGCGGCGCCGACCCTGCCCTCCACACTCCACACCTCCTCCTACAGGCATTTCTTATAGAAACCACTGGAGATTAACGCCGGCGTGTGTGTTTTCCAATTAGGTCATGTGATTTGCTGTGGAAGGGTGTCTCACTTGTCTGAGGGGACTAAGTTGTAAAAACCAATCATCACCTAGTAACAGGAGTGGTACAGCGATCCTGGACTTCCAGCCTCTTTTCACGGTGAGTTCACGAGACAGACTAAACACAGCGCAGCAGGAAAAATGAAACGCAGGCTCCGCTCGGCCCCCAGGGCCTCCTCACCCGCATACCAGCCGGCCATGCGGCGACCGAGGCTCCTCACGTCTGCCCTGCAGCCCTGAGTGGGGCACGCCCGGGTCAGGTGGAAACCGCCTTTGCAACAAGCTCCTGGCCCCACCCGCTGGCCCGGCTCCCCGATCCCACCAGGCCTGTGACCATTGGCACCAGCCAGGGCGAGGCAGCCGTCGTGACCAGGTCGCCGGCTGACACGGACCTTGCCTGGCCTGGGCCGCGGTGGGCACCTTCTACGTGGGAGAAAACAGAGCGGCTGAGATTTGCAAACGGAAAACAGAATGTGGTCATGGCTGAGAAGCAGGTTTGGGTGACAGACCCTCATTCATCTCACAGACACAAAAGCGAAGGGGCTCCCAGGCTCTCCTAGCTCTCCTTCTGCATTCTAATAAGATCTGGACTCAAATTTAAAAACAGGATTTTACAGCTCTGCCGGAGCCTTTTTGGTGCACAAATGACCCCCAGTAGAGGGATGAGTCTGGAGGGGCTGGGGATCAAGTGAGGGGCCCACAGGGGAGGCTGTGCTCGCCCAACCATGCGACACCCATGGAGACAGCAGACTGCCCCCCCTGCCAGGGCTGGGCACAGGGGCTGTCCTCGCGCCAGTCCTCCCTGTGCAGAGGAGAAAGGAGGTGTCAGCCCAGCACTCCCTGGCCTTCCCTTGGGCTGACAAGGAATGACCCTGCTTGGGACAGAATGGTTAAGGACCCATCCAGACCCCCCTTCCTTTGTCCGACATCACCTCTGGCTGGGACATGGGACCACCACTGACTACCACCGGCCGCCACTGAGAAAAAGGGGGGCTGGAATGTGACGTTGGCATGGCCGACATCCATGGGACACGTGGCCCCTGGCCCAGGGCGACTGAGGGCCTTGGTGCAGGCTCAGGTGGGCAGAGGGCTGGCCCGGGAGACTGTGCCTGGAACTGCCTCCTCACTGAGCTGGGCCACATGGGGTCAAGGGCAAGCCTCTTGCCACAGCCAGTGCAGCAGAGCCCTGGTAGGCGGTGGGCCAGCAAGGCCCTGGCCGAGGAAGTGGCCCAAGGTGCAGGAGCCCTAGCACGCCACACCATGGCTCCCCAGTGCCACAGGCCAAGAAGGGCATGGGGACGGGGCAGGGAAGGAGAAAGGAGGGAGAGGCAGGAGAAGCTGCCTGAGCAAAGGGCTCCCCATTCAACTAGCTGTTGTGGCATCAAAGGGACAGAGGTGTCCTCCACTGGCAGAGGCTGCTCTGGGAAGGAAGGGGTGATGGGCAGGGGCCGCAGCCTGGGCCATGAGGGCCCCTCTGCCCACCTGCACAGGGAACACACATCTATGGGTCCAGGCCTTCCCCCTGGGCCCGGCGAGGCTTACACTCAGCGGACAGCACCGCCTTCTTGCCTGATGGCTCCTAGAACTGACACAAATCCTGACCCGGCCACCTGGCACGGGAACACGGCGAGCTGAAAATCCCGGCATATGTCGGGGCCACGCAGACTCCCTCCAGCCCACTGGGGCTGCCATGTCTGGTCCCAAAGTCAGGGCCCCATAGGGCCCCCACGTGCACACCCCTCACTGAGACGCCCAACCCTGCTGGAAAGGCCCTACTCACAGCCTAGCCCCCATATCATCACAGACACACCCCAACTTCCAGCTCTGCAGGCTCCACTGGACTAGGCCTAGAACCAGAAGGTCAGGCTTCCAGGCCTGGCTACAGCCTGCACATGGCTCAGTGTGGTCACAAGAGCTGGTGCCCTTCACATGAGCCAGGCCCAGGCCAGCCACCCAGTGTGCCTGGCAGCTGGCAGCAGCCCGAGCCACGGTGTCCTGGAGAAACTGCTCGAGGCCAAGGCAAGGGGACAGGGGACGTTGTTTTGTTACAAAGGTGTCGGGGAAGCAGACCGGCTTAATTCATGCACAAAGCGCTCGGCTGGTTTCTGTAAAGGACTGAACAGTTCTGTCCTGCTGGGAGTCCGGTCACTTTTGGTAAAGCAGCACCCCCAAGCACAGTGTGCACACCCCCTTCACGCTCGCTGCCGGGGCCCTGTGACGCGGGGAAGGCTGTCCACTGCTGAGGGGCCACTGGGCCTCAGCTGCAGGGAGCCCAAGGCCCCAGCTGGCCCAGGCGGCGAGCGCCAAGTGAGGGTGTGCGGGAGTGGAGGGTAGGGCAGCGCGAGGCCTGCCCGCCGCCGGGAGTGCGCAGTGCGTGAGAGGAAGACACACTGAGAAGAGACCCCAATACACCCAAACATGAGGACAAAGTGATGACACGGGCCGCCCCATCCTCAAGGACGCCTGAACTCGAGTTACATCTATGGGACCCTCGGGTGGGGGCGGCTGCCTGGGAAGGGCTATCGGCGACGTCCCAGCAACACACGGTGCTGCCTCTGGGGCCACGGCGGGACTTGAATCCGGAGGGGGAGAAGACTGTTTCTACCACACCAAGATGTTGTGTATCCTACATCTAATACTGTACATTTTGTGGAGGGAGGGGAGGTTGCAGGGACGTCCCTGGTGTTAATCCCTGGTCTCAGGAAAACCACCCGAGGCCAGGTAGGGACAGGCCTGAGGTGAGGATGCCTTCGAGGGAACAGTTTCTGCAGCTTCTGCAGGAAGTCTCTCCTTTACAGCAGCGACACGTGACTCCCGTGCAGGGCAGAACCAGGGACACTCATTCCCCCAAAGCAATCCCAGGAGAGCGGGGGAAGGAAAGGCAGATAAGAGCTTTGACCGCGAACAGGTGCGGCGGGCCCCTCACAGGAGCTCAGGGCACAGGGGTGCGACGGAGGGCACTTCCAGCAGGCACTGGGGCGAAGGCACACCCAGGACAGATGGCAGCACCAGAGACAGGTGGGCCACCAGGCACCCACCAAGCTGTCCCCGCGCGGCCACGGGAGAGCCGAAGCAGGCAGTCTGACGCACGCGGCCCAGCTGGCCAATCGTGGGCGCGGCTTGTGGGCGAGTGGCACAGGTGTGGCGGTTCGCACACATTGGTTTTGCCTAAGAAGCACCCGTCGCGTGTAGCACCCATCAGTGGTAAGAGCACCATGAGGCGTGGTGCATAGCAAAAGGGGTGCAGGGGCGGGCTCCAGGCTTCAATCACAGTTGGACAGAGAGACAGTAAACAGTGAGCTGAGAAAATGCCGTCCAGGCAGGCGCAGGCTGGGACAACGGGCCCCGTGGCCACCCTTCCCGCCGGGGTGGGGGTCAGGAGCGCCCGTCCGTCAGCCTGGGCAGGACCCTGAGCAGCGGGCTCTGGAATGCTCAGAGGGTTCTGCTTCGGGCTGTGGGGCGCCCACGACCCTGGTGGGGACACGGAGAGGCTTGGCTTCTGTTCCACACCTGCCTCCCTCGGGGTGGGACCAGGCCGTACTTGGACCAGGCGGCTCGCTCGTGGGGCCTATAGATTTGGAATCTGTGGTTATTAATCAGCGGAGGCTCCAGAAGCCAACGGAGGAGGCCGGCCTCCCCTCAGCAGGTGCGGAGGTGTCTGAGGGCCCTTGTAGAGACAGTGGAGAGAAAAGTCTGGTTAAACTAGCACTTTCTAGAATTATGCTCAACGCAAACCCAGGGTGGAGAAGCAGCATGTCACATCTAAGGCACATGTACCGTACGCCACCAGCTCTACCCACGAGGTTGCTTTCGGAAGCTGCCGCCAGCACGCAGCAGATGACGGGATGGAAACGTGCCGCGGCCTCCCCCAGCAGCCACCCGCCCACCCCTGACGTGGAGACCGAAGGCCGGTGCTGTCAGCAACAGAGAGCTCGTCCAAACACATGGGGCAGAAGCCAGACACCTACAGGATTTTGTTTAGAACTCCAAAGTTCAACGGATGCCCTATTTTAGGGTGAAAACAATTATAAATCTGAAAATGATGCACAGCATCCATGAGCGAGGCTCCGTTCAGAATTGTGAGGTCGTGTCATTAACTACGACAGATATTGAAGGTTTACATTTCTAACGAGAAATAACAACAGGTTGAATATTCTCTTTCCTATCACAAGTGATAACCAGTGTTTGATATTTTATATTTTCTTCCAAGAAATATCAGTCTATCAATGTTTTAAAATAAAAGGTTTGCAGTAACAATTATTTGTAGAACTTTAAATTAAAAAATGATTCTGAATTTAGAGACTATCAAAAAAAAAAAAAGACCTAGGTATACTTCAGGGTCTTCTGACAAACAAATTATTAAAACAGAGACCAGATGAGGCCTTAAAAATAGACAATATACTGTATTTGAAACAAGATTGCACTCTTGAATTTTAGAAAGAAGGTATCAGAATTGCATTACTATTTCATAAATTCTCCTTTTTCTTAACATGCTGACATGTCCAGCTATGCCCGTGTGTGTGTGTGTGTGTGTGTGTGTGTGTGTGTGTGTCTGGTATTCAAGTTTAAGGAAGAAAATGTTTCTTTTGTTTAGCATATATGTTTTCCACCTTAATTAACTAGATCTTTAAAAATGAAAATGAAAACCTTCTCTGACAGCAATATTTATCTCGTTGAAGGATAAATAATTCTTCAGAGTGAAGCGTGGCTAGTCTATTAGAAAACGTGTTGGGTGTGCTCACGTGGCTCCTCCCGCCGGCGCGCATCCAACTTCTGCCGCTTCCTCCGTCCCACAAGGTCCTTTTCTGAGTGCGAGGACCTCGGTGAAGACAGACCGGTTCAAATCCCCCAGAGGAGTTGCCTTCTGCTAAATCCACCTCCCCAGCTACTCGTCAGGGATCGGGCAGATCCGAAGTATCCACTATGACTTTAATAAAAATTGTATCATCTTTAATATATGTCCCATTTTCTAGAACAGTTTGGGCCACAAAGACCGGGCAGCCAGAGGCGATATTCATCTCTCCGGTGGGCTTCTTGAAGCTGCTGCTGTTGGGGTCAGGCTTGAAAGCGTCTCCCAGGTGACGCCGAGAGGACCCCTGATCCATCAACATGAGTGTCACTTTCTGCTTAAACGGCCAAGGAAGCAGGGCATCATACTCTCCACGCATGATGACAAAAAACAGAGACAGGTGCGTCCCCTTTCCCATCCCGTCCCCGTTCAGGTAGACCCTGGCACACATCTTATAACCAAAGTAGCCAGTGTAGAAAGGCTGGCTGTAGAGGGACAGGGTCTTCCCCATGACGGCCTCCTGCTTCCGCCTCTTGTAGTCGCGAATCTTCCAGATGAGCACGCCGTTGTAGCTGGCGGTCTCCAGGACCTGGAAGCGCAGGTCCATGTCGGCCAGGCGGATGTCGTGCACGCTCAGCATCTGGTCGTGCCGGCTCAGCTGCGACTCCAGCAGGCCTGCCACAGGCGAGGGAGGATTTGGTGAGTGAGACAGGTGAGCGTCAGAAAGGTTAGAGGAGCAAAGCCGCACCAGCACTTGTTATTTTATTCCATTTTTTTTTTTTGAAACAGAGTCTTGCTCTATCACCCAGGCTAGAGCCATCTCGGCTCACTGCAACCTCCGCCTCCCAGGTGCAAGCGATTCTCCTGCCTCAGCCTCCTGAGCAGCTGGGATTACAGGTGCCCACCACCACACGTGGCTAATTTTTGTCTTTTTCATAGAGACAGGGTTTCACCATGTTGGCCAGGCTGGTCTGGAACTCCTGACCTCAGGTGATCCACCTGCCTCAGTCCTCAAAGTGCTGGGATTGCAGGCATGAACCACCATACCTGGCTCATGTTTTTAATTTTTAAAGATGCAAGGTCTCACTCTGTTGCCCAGACTGGCATTAAAATCCTGAGCTCAAGCAACCCTCCCACCTCAGCCTCCTAAAGCACTGGGACTACAGGCCACATCACCAAGCCTAGTCACACCAGTGTCTGAATTAAGCAACAATATAAAAATCACTGTGGCTACCGGGGGTGACACCAGCAAAGCTGTGTAGACAGATGTCCTGAGGCCACATCTGTCTTACCTCCCAGGGAAGAGCCCAGGTCCCTGTCCCGCTTCTACCATAGCTCTCATATCCACAGCCCTGTCTGGTTGGACACTTTACCAGGCACAGCCTGCTGGGAAGGGATGTCCCGGGCGGGTGACCTGCCCGTGTGTCATAGGACACCTCACTGCAGGGTCCAAGACAGAGCACTACCTCTCCACTGTGGCATCCTAGGAAGCCCGCTGGTGGGAGCTCCTGGGGGCAGGAGACAGCCGTGTTATCCCCACCCCTCCCTCTGGCCTCAGCGCCCACAGGTGGCCTCTGCTCTCTCGGAGGCGAAGCTGCTCCCTTCTCTCCTCCAACCCCATCCTCTGCCTGCTTAATCCAGCCCCACACATGCCATGGTAATCCGTGTTCCTTTCTGCCATTAATCCTTTCCATGTAAATATGCACAACAGTCTTTCAGGCCCCAAGGCCACAGGCCCACATCTGCCTGTGGGTCAGAAACATGATGGCAGAGCGCAGCGGGGCTTTGGCTCCGCTCAGCCCTTAGGAGTGGGGTCTGGGGCATCCTGACCAGCAGGCCCCGGCCCCTGCCTGTGGCGTCTGCACTCGGGAGTGTCCTGCAGGGCCCCCCTGCAGCTGGTCTCTCTGGGGAAGCCTCCCGTGGCTGCAGCTGCCCCCACTCTCTACCCCATGTCAGGCCTCGCTCAGAGGGGACAAGCCTACATGGGAAACGTTTCTGTCCTTGCTGGGGACTCTCAGCAGGAAAGGCATCACAGCTCTGCATGTTTCCCATAACTGGAAAGAACTATCCTAAGGCACGTGCCTAACACAGCCTCATCCCACGGCCTGCTGCAGCTCTCGCTGGGGCCGGATGCACACAGCGGCCTGGCCTGGCCCCCGCCTCACCTGTGTTCCGAGCCACCTGCCCTGCGCTCTTGTCCACGCTCTCCAACTCGGTCACGCGGTTCTGGAGGGACTCCACGCTGCTCTTCATGCTGTCTGCTTCCTCCCAATTCTGCCGGAAGGGCCGGATCTCCTTGTCGAGCTCCTTCAGTTTCTCTGCTTGGCTGTCTATCACTCGCTTCCAAACCAAAGGTGTCGAAAAGCAAAACACAGTTAGGACTCGGAAGACACTGCGCCGCCTCCTATCAAATACAGATGGGCTGGGAGCAGAACAGCCGCAGAGGCCCCCGCACGAGGCCTGCCACCCGTGCTGTGACTCCAGGAGGTGGGCTCTGCGTCAGCCCTCCTGGGTGCTCTCTGGGAACAAGTGCCTGTGCCGGCAGGGAGCACTGAAGGTGACTGGAAGCCAGATGGAGGAAGACCACCGGAGGCTCCACTACGTCCAGTCTGCTTTGTCAACAGAGAACCATCGGGAAACCTAAGTGACTGGGCAGAGGTCTCTGCTGTCTGGGGCAGGGCTATGCTTCTGCCCCAGAATGACCCCAGGGTCCCAGGAGAAGACTCCTAATCCTCAGACCCCTCCCACCTGGCTGGTGTCAGGAAACGGCCCCAAGGTGGGTCCCTCGGGATCTAGGTGAAACTCAGTGTGCCAATGTCGCAGAAGCAGGGGTCTTCCCCTACTGGCTCCTCACTCAGGGCCTTCCCCCACTGGCTCCACACTCAGGGGTCTTCCCCCACCAGCTCCACACTTACACTGCCAGTCCCAAGTGAGAGAGGCAGAAATGCAGAAACCCTGCCACGCACACGTGTCTGCCAGCGGCCAGGCCTGACTTTATGCTACTTCACTAAACTAATTCAGAAAGCCCTTCCCCGAAGCACACAGCCCGCTCACACTTGTCACCACCTGGAGGGGTGGGAGCTGTGCTCCGCCCTGGCGGCCTAGTCTGTGTTCAGGGGCTGGGGTGGTGTCCACCTGTCAGATGAAGCCAGGGACTTAAAGGGTTTTCACTTTGAAAAAGGATGTGCATTTTGAAATAGAGCTTGTGCGGCTGGAAGTGAATGCTCAACGCAGCTGTGGAATGACTGAGCCGCCTTGCAAGCTGTGGGTGACACCGGGTGCGCATGGGGTGGGCCCCAGGGGCCTCCTGAATTCACTTCTCCTTTTGGAAGTCTATTTTTAAACATGTAGGTTTCAGCACCTTTGCTGGCTGTTATTAACCACGGAGAGACAAACATGACAGGTTTGGGTTAACTTTCTGGGCATAAAAGCAGTGTTATTCTTCCTGTTCTTTCCAAGAAACCTGATGCTAGTTAACCTCTAAAGAGTAAATGGCTGGGCGTGGTGGCTCACGCCTGTAATCCCAACTACTAGGGAGGCGGAGGCAGGAGAATTGCTTGAACCCAGGAGGCGGAGGTTGCAGTGAGCCAAGGATCGCGCCACTGCACCACAGCCTGGGCGACAGTGTGAGATACCATCTCAAAAACAAAAAAGGATAATTTCTTGAAAGAATACCTCTTTCCACGTCACTGTCCCTTTATTTTAATCAATTACACATGGTCAGAAGGATATTTAGCTCGCCGAGCCTACTTGCTGGGGGATAATACCAGTGACAACACTGAACATCCATATCACCTGGCTCCTCTAGTGAGTGTGGGAAGCCTCTTGCACTGAGCTGGCATGGGTGATCGGCAGATGCAGGGGAGAGTTAATGAAAACCTGATCCACAGAGGTCTGAGAGATTCCCTTTGTAACTTAGCAAATCCCAAAATGAAGCATGAGTCACAGACAGGGTGGCCCAGGACAAGCGGCGCCTCACGCTGAGCTTCAGGCCCTTGAGGTTAAGAGGGGGATGGCACTGAGCCACTCCTCCCCGGGATGGTACCACACCATGATGTTTAAGGCCATGCAAGGGCGTGCCTGACCTCAAACACAGAACGGGGAGTCTCCAGCCAGGATTCCCCAGCACAGCAGGGGCCCTGAGTTGAAAACACTCAACACAGGTGCACTGCATGCCCATCATGCCCAGACCAGGCATAGCTAAATAGAAGGCGTTAGTTACCACGAGCAACCAGGGAACACAGGCTATTTTTACAACAGGCCCTTCATCTGTATCAATGGCACCGTTTCAAAGCAGAACGCAGGGCCGTCGAGGGTTCTCTAAAACACCATAAACGTGATTTCATCCTTGAAGAGCGGTCTATACTCAGCCACTGCAGTTTCTATAAAAATAAACCTCAAGTGCAGGTGTGGAATTCTACAGAAAAATGACTCCCACACAGAGCTTTAGAGCGCAGACCGTCCTCCACGTCAACCATCCAGGTCGGAAGGTTTGCCTTCAGGGAGCGTCAGCACATGAGCCTCACGCATGAGCATGAGCTGTGTGCCAGGGCTGCACCCGCATCAGCTGCTGCGATGCCCCACGCTCAGGACCCTGGGATCCTGGCACTGTGAGAAGCCTGGCAGTGCCGGCAGCCTGAGTAAGGGCTGAGGGCCTGGACGTCCCTGCCTTCTGTTCCAGCAAGTGCTGCTCGCGTGTGCCCTGCGGACCCCCTGACTGCAAGAACCACCAGCTCATCATGTCCACTGACACCAGAAGCCTGGGTCACGCTCCCACTTAGGCTGTCTTCTTTTTTTTGACAGAGTTGCACTCTGTTGCCCAGGCTGGAGTGCAGTGGTGCAATCTTGGCTCACTGCAACCTCCACCTTCCTTAAGCGATTCTCCTGCCTCAGCCTCCCAAGTAGCTAGAATTATAGGCGCCCGCCACCACACCTGGCTAATTTTTGTATTTTTAGTAGAGATGGGGTTTCACCATCTTGGTCAGGGTGGTCTCGAACAACTGACCTTGTGATCTGCTCACCTTGGCCTCCCAGAATGCTGGGATTATGGGTATGAGCCACTGTGTCTGGCCTAAGCTCTCTTCTTTTTTTTTTTGAGACAGAGTCTTGCTGTTGTTACCCAGACTGGAGTGCAATGACACGATCTTGGCTCACCGCAACCTCCGCCTCCTGGGTTCAAGCAATTCTGCCTCAGCCTCCCGAGCAGCTGGGACTACAGGCACGCACCACCATGCCCAGCTAATTTTTGTATTTTTAGTAGAGACGGGGTTTAACCTTGTTGACCAGGATGGTCTCGATCTCTTGACCTCGTGATCCACCTGCCTCGGCCTCCTAAAGTGCTGGGATTACAGGCGTGAGCCACCACGCCCGGCCTTGGCTCTCTTCTTAATAAAGAAAAATAGGATTCTTAAGAAGTAAAATATTAAGAACTCATCCTTCCTGGGCATGCAAAAGCAAACACACTCTTGAATTCCACTCCTTGGCCCCCTAGCCTGCACCCCCAGCACAGCCAGGCCATCGGGCCCTCTGCACTCCGACACCCACCATCACCAGGACTTCAGGGCCTACTGGAGAATCAGACAAGGAAGAAGAAGACCCCACGTGACACATGCCCTCATCACCTAGGTGGTCCATTAACATGGCTGGAGGAATGCCTGGGGCTGGCCAGGAAAGGAAGGAGGAAAACAAGGGTTTGTGAGTCACAGACATCTGAGCAGGAGCATGGAGCCTCTAAAGGAGCAGTGAGCGGTCCACTTAAGCACGGGGAGTGAGGCAAAGCTGGGAAGGTGACCGGTGGCCAGTCACAGAGGTTTTCAGGGCTGCAGTAAAGATTTTGTGATAAGCCCTTCGTGGGTCAACCTGAAGGGCTCTGGAGATGAAACAGTGGGGCGCGCAGCTGGGCGGGGCTGCCGTTGAAGAGGGTGGGTGGGGCCTGCAGCAGCAGAGGGATGGCTCCCACATGGCCAGCGCCTCCAGGCATCTGCCGGCTTTCAATCAGCATTTCCTGAGAGTGGACAGTGCAGGATCCTCCTGGCCAAAGACCACCCCACAGTGGTTCTAAAGGTAAACTGAATTTACCCTTTCAAAAAAAAATCACACGTTTGGAAGGGGTCACACTAAGAGGAGTTTTACACCTTTCAGGCAGGGCCTTGTCCCTGCACTCGAGGGAATCAGAGCGAGTCCCTTCCCCTGCTCTCTGTCCTACCACAGCCTCCTGGGGGGAAGAGGCTGGCGCCGCCATCACCTCCTACTCGCCTACTGGACACAGGTCAGGGGACACTGACAGCTGCTGTCACCCCTCCATCCTCTCTTCTCTGGACTTGGCAACTTGGTTTCCCTCTTTCTTTTTGATAAATAAATGAGAATGCCTCTGACTGGAGGGAGGAAGAATGAAGGGAGGAATGCAGAGGAAACCTCTGAGGTTGGGGGCGGTACGTCTGGACATCATTGCACATATTCTAGCTTTTTGTTATAAACGAATCCAGTACTTGTTCATTCTTCCTTCTGTTGTGGACATTTTAGGAGGTGATTTCCCCGGCCTTTCCAGTGTCTCTGGGTCCCAGGTCAAACACAGCAGCGATCTTGTGAGCAGCCAGAGCTGCTTGCCAGGCAGCGCAGGTGTGGGTGGGCCACCGGGTGGCCAGGGCCCTGCAGCAGCAGGCTGACCAGCTGCCTTGGCCAGTCTGATGACCGACACACCGGTGGGCCCTCAGCAAAATGCCAGGGGCTTCCAGCGGGAGGCTTGGTGTTTTAAGAAACATTGTACGTTTTTTTGGCTTGATTTAATGCTAATGACTTGTGCCTTTTCTAATACCACCTAAAGTTTTGCTGTGTTTTCTCCTTTTCTCTCTGGGTAACTACAAAGTATAATACAAATAAAATTAATTTAATAAATTCCTGTGCAATTCAAGTCATTATGACTCACCTCCAATGTCAAAAATTGGAGAAAAGGCATTCTCAAAGATGCCATGACGCTGCACTATTAGTAGTATTTTCTGTTCCAAATAGTCTAGGGACACACCGTAAGTACAGGCACTTCAGTGACATGAGTGATTCTTCCACGGGTGTGTGACACACATGGGAATTACTATCACAAAAGGACACGAGTGAATGTGCAGACAGCATCTAAAACAACAATTAACAAGTACCCCACAGACAGCAGTGATAACAGAAGACAGGAGGAGTGACATTTCCTCAGTCCCAGGTATATAATCCCTCTATTCAGGGTGGCAAGGATTCACTGGTTTCTTCTTCAGGAGGTGTGTGTGGATTTCCGCAGTGAAACCCACCGGGATGAGTGCGTGTCACTGGAGAGCTCACGGCAGGGAGCCGGGCTGCACAGCCCCTCACTGCAGGAAGTGAGACTGCACACAGCAACTGCTCATGGACAGTGGGAAATCTTAAATAATCATAAAAACAGCTCATTTTAAAAACACAGGCTTCACATCCTACTTCTCCAACAGTAGAGCAAAGGCACGGAAGAGGGGTGGAGGCTTGCTCTCCAGAGAAAAGGCAGTGAGAAAACACCCACCTGCAGCTTCCCAGGCCAGGCCTGTGCCAGCCCCACTGCCTTTTCCGAGCCTTCACTGAGGCCAGGGAAATCAGCTGGCTTTCTGCTTGCAAAGTACTCAGCTCAAGCAGTTCGCTGAGAAAGCCCTAATGGGATCACAGGCAAGCCCCTCTACCCTTTGATCTGGCCAAGTCCTAAGATTCTTACCTGTAAATGAAGGATTTTGGATTCATTATTTCGAAGCATTTCCTTTTGTCTCTCAATTTCAATTTCAAAGCTACATATCTGATTGTGCAAACTTTGTATGCTCTTGTTTTTTTCTACACTTTCATTCTGCAGCAAGGAAACCTAAAAAAGAAATTCTTTAATTAATGTAACCCAAAGTGGTTTTCATATTAATTAACAACCATGATAATAACACCAATTAAATTTTCACAATATAGGCCTTCTGTTAGATTATTGACAGAGTTTCAGAAGGAAAAGAATCCCTTCACACAGAAAATGGTAGTCCTGGTACTTTTCCTTCTTTCTTTTTTCCCCGTCTAGAGACAGGGTCTTGCTCTGTCCCCAGGCTGGAGTACAGTGGTGCAATCATAGCTGACTGCAGCCTTGGCCTCCTGGGCTCGAGTGATCCTACTTCAGCCTCTTGAGTAGCTAGGCCCACACGGACATGCCACCACCGTGTCTGGTTAGGTTTTTAAAAAAAAATTTTTTTGTAGAGATAAGGTCTTGCTATGTTGCCCAAGCTGGTCTCAAACTCCTGGCCAAAAGTGATCCTCCTACCTCAGCCTCCCAAAGGGTTGGGATTAGAGGTGTAAGCCACCACACTCAGCCAGTCCTAATTTAATAAAGAAGCCTATAAAGTGTTTCCCAGAATCTCTTCCAGTAATTAGGGTGAGGCAAAGTGCAGCAGCTGATTGAATATCAGAATAAATGAGGTGCTGTTTCAAGTTTTTGCTAAAAACTAAATGAATCAATTGTAGACCAGGAAACATAGTAAGAAAGAGACGCTTATCTATCACCCACTGATACCACCGCCGAGTGTGTGTGCGTCCCTGAAAACAGGTGTCACAAAGCAGTACTTGCCCTAATTACGATGCACACTGATATTTTTTCTTTTATTCCATTTCATTTAAGAAAATACTTGTCCCTGGAGGACATTACACTGAGCGAAGTAAGCCAAGCACAGAAAGGCAAACACTATGCGCTCTCCTTTAGACACGGGATCTAAAAAACTCAAGCTCGCAGGAGGAAACGGTTACTGAGGCTGGCGGAGGCAGGGGATGGGGGTGGGCTTGTGGAGCTGCTGGGCAAAGGGCACAGAGCCTCAGTCAGACAGAAGGAAGGGCGTTTTCAGGCCCACTGAACAGCATGGTGACTGTGACTGATATTAACATGTGTTTCAAGACTGCCTGAGGAACAGATTTTAAACCAAGTGAGGTAGGTGATGGATATGGTTTTTTTTTTTTTTGAGACGGAGTTTCGCTCTTGTTTCCCAGGCTGGAGTGCAATGGCGCGATCTCGGCTCACTGCAACCTCCGCCTCCTGGGTTCAGGCAATTCTCCTGCCTCAGCCTCCCGAGTAGCTGGGACTACAGGCACACGCCACCAGGCCCAGCTAATTTTTTGTATTTTTAGTAGAGACAGGGTTTCACCATGTTGACCAGGATGGTCTCGATCTCTTGACCTCGTGATCCACCCACCTCGGCCTCCCAAAGTGCTGGGATTACAGGTGTGAGCCACCGTGCCCGGCCCGGTGATGGATATGTTAATTAGCTCTATTTAATTATTCTGCAGTGTGTATGTGTATGTTTGTATATATGTATAAAAAATCAAAACATTATACTGTACCCTGTAAATATATGCAATTATTCTTTGTCAATTTAAAAAATGCTGGTCACGACTTACTAAATTATTTCACATCTACCCAGGGACCACACCCTGCAGCCTGAACAGCTCTGCCAACATCATGAGAGAGCGTGAGGAGAATACAAAAAATTAGACGGGGGCTGCATCCTTGGGACCAGTCCTGTTCACCCTCAACATGGAGAGGCAGAGCTGACACCTGAGGATATACCTCCATGGGAGCACAGAGGAGCCCCTGCAATCCACGCTACCCAAAGGGAGGGCCTGCTGGGTGAGCAATTCCAACCCCACCTTTGACCTTTCTGAAATCTCTTTCTGAAAAATAATTAGCTCCCAGAGAAAAATTGACACCTGGTCTCAAAGATGGAAAGTTCAAGGGTAACACCTATGAGGACTTCTTCCTCACAAAACTTTTACGAAGGGCATCCTGACCTCCCATCTACTCTCTGTCTACCTGTCAGGGTGGCGGTCTCCACCCCAGAAGACCCTAAGCTCCGTGCCAGATCCTACATGTGCCTCTCCAATGATGTGCATGCTAAAACCACCAACGCCTGGGGACCAACGGTCACAGAGGTGAGGGCCCGAGGGCATCTTGGCACAAAACCAGGTGTGATCAAGAGCGGACTCCGGATGCTGTCCATCTGAAGGATAACCACCTTTAGGTTGCTTATCCTTTTCATATTTGGCACAGTTGGCCAAGTCAAGAGACACCTTTTGAAGCAATCACTACTGGGTTTTTTTTTTAAGATGGGGTTTCACCATGTTGGTCAGGCTGGTCTTGAACTCCCGACCTCAGGTGATTCGCCCGCCTTGGCCTCCAAAGTGCTTGGATTACAGGCGTGAGCCACCACGCCTGGCCCACTATCGTATTTTAAAACAAATATGTATTTACTAAGGGATATAAAACTTGCAATGGCTCATGGGCAAAATACAACTTCACTTTCCTAGGATTTTACTCAGCAAAAATCAGCTTTCCTTCTTTCCTTGCCTCATACGTCCACAAACTCTTAAAGGTGATCAACCTGCAGAATGCGGAGCAGGCCATAGGTAGCATCGCATGATGTCTGTGTCCCTCTGGAAGTAACAATTCATTCATTTCCATCTGTCAAAGACGGGACACAATTCTCAGACTCTTTATTCTCATATCCCTGCAAAAAGATGATATGGATGCCAACTCTTTTGACAAAAATCTCAGTAATGTCTCCAAAACACTGTTAATAGGCCAGGTGTGGTGGTTCACATCGGTAGTTCCAGCTCTTCGGGAGGCTGAGGCAGGCGGATCAGTTGAGCCCAAAGGATTGAAGACCAGCCTGGACAACATGGCAAAACCCCATCTCTACAAAAACACAGAAATTAGCCAGGTGTGGTGCAAACATCTACAGTCCCAGCTCCTGGGGAGGCTGGGTGGGAGGATCACTTGAGCCTCGGGGGTCGAGGCCGTAGTGAGCCTCGATTGCGCCACTGCCCTCCAACAAATCAAGCAGTTGAGTGTGAGCAGAAGCAAATTACAGCGATGAATACACATCGTGCCACACTAAACTCAATTTCTTCCATTTCAGGACTTCACTTATTTAAACTATTTATTTATTTCAATCAAAGACCCCAACTTCTGGGTCCTGCAGCTCACTGCTTCCACTCATCTGGTAGGGAAACGCTGAACGCACAGCAAAGTCCACCTGGCAGGTGCGTTCCAAGGGGCCGGCCAAACACCCGTCCAGAGGTCCGAGACTCGGCGTTGAGAACATCCTTGACTCCAGCCCACCCTGGTAGGGGTGCTCTACATTTCTCCTCCATGTAAGCTTTCTTAAAATAGAAAATGGGTGTTTTTAAGTCCAGATTTTAGAAAACAGTTTTTCTTTAGTTTGACTATGAATGTGAGAATCAGTCTTTTTTTTTTTTTTTGAGATGGAGTCTCGCTCTGTCCCCATGCTGGAGTGTGGTGTGGCATGATCTCAGCTCACTGCAACCTCCGCCTCCTGGGTTCAAGCGATTTTGCTGCCTCAGCTTCCCAAGTAGCTGGGATTACAGGCACGAGCCACTGCGCCCAGCCAGTCTTTTTGAACCAGCTCAAACATTCTATTTTCTAGGACAGATGAATAAAATGACCTAAGAAATTCCAGCTGAATAATTCTAAAGTAAGAAATAAATTTCCATTTTAAGCAAACATAAATCTCTCTGCTCTTTGTCCAGCCATTGCTTTTGGACCTAGTGAAGGGCACAGGATTCTGTGAATACGTGCACCTTCCTGTGAGCACAATGAGCACGTGCAGAGCACATGCAGAGCTGAGGTTCAGCTGGCCCATCATCAGGGCAGGGGCTCTGCTCTGATGGACAGAGTCCAGGAGAGACCAGTCCTTTGGCAACGTCCAAGAGGGCAGCGCACAGCTGCGCATCCTGCATGCTTGGGGCTTCCACTGTGACTTGGCTGGAGATAGCTTAAACACATGAGGCATTCACAGAGTGAGAACCCACTGCACTGTGTGTGGGCGGGCTATTCTGGTATGTCCTGGGGTTTCCAATGATGCAAACCATTCACTTTCGGTGGGAAAGAAGCACAGAACGGAAAGGAAGGAGCGGAACCCCCACAGGGACTGGGCCCCGGAAGGCTGCCTGGTGACAGCACAGCCACGACCATCCTGTTGGATAACCATGTGCTGTGGACCTGCTCAACTACTGTGTAACTAACACAGCGATAAAATCCATTCTTAAAATGAAAGGAAGAACCTTCTCAGTGAGAAACATGGCATCTATGAGAGATATGAGGCCTTGTGATCTATACCTATACTTTAAAAAAGACAGAAATAAAAGTCCAGCTTCAAAAAGAGGGAAAAAAAGATTCTTAGGTAAATCGCCATTGAACTCAGAGCAAGTTCTCTATGCTCACGGGAAGATCACCAGGGTTCTGTGAATACGAGCTTTGCGTCACTGCTGCTCAGCACTGTTCTGCTCCGTGTGTGCATGTGCACAGGACGCCAATTCTTCCACTGCTTCTCAACCTCAGCTCCGGCATTCAAGTGAAAAACTCACAGCCAGGCACAGTGACTCATGCCTGTAATCCTAGTACTTTGGGAGGCCGAGGCGGGAGCATCATGAGGTCAGGCATTAGAGACCAGCTTGGCCAACACGGCGAAACCCCTTCTCTACTAAAAATACAAAGATTAGCCGGGCGTGGTGGTGGGCACGTGTAGTCCCAGCTATCTGGGAGGATGAGGCAGGAGAATCGCTTGAACCATGGGAGGCGAGATCATGCCACTGCACTCCAGCCTGGGCAACAGGAGCAAAACTCTGTCTTAAAAAAGAACAGCATGGGAGAGTGAGTCTTTTTGGGATGTGGTCCCATCTATGTGGAGAGCAAACCAAGTTTCACAAAGCGTCAAGTGACAAAATCAACTGTAATCATAGCAAATGTCTGTCTCTTGTAAAAGACACAGACTTGTAACGCATGTAGAGTGGCAGCCACCCAGGTCAGGGCTGGAGAATTTATCCTGTAAAGAGCCAAGGAGTCAGTATCTCGATCTGTACAGTCCACACGCTCTCTCCACTCTGCTGCTGTCGAGCAAAGGAAGCCGCAGGCAACACGGAGTGAGCAAGGATGGCTGTGCGCCAACACAGCTTTGTTTACAAAAAAACCAGAGGGGTGGGAACTGGGCACCTGATCCTCTCTGTGCTGGACCGAAGCTAAAACAACCACAACGTGATTGACAGTAAAAAAAGCACTTCACACTTGCTTGGCAATTAAAAAAACAAAGAACAAAAATGAAACAGCTTCATGTATAAGCTCAAGATCACGTAGGGAACATTTTTCTTGACAGTCTCTTGATATGGTTTCTTTTATCCAAAACCCATTGCTAACTATAAAGAAGTTTTGTCTTTAAACAATTTGAAGAGGTGACACAAATCCCACTGCGCAGGAAAGCGTGTGGGCCCACCTTCTTCTCGAGCGAGTTGCTCCACTCCTTCAGCAGGTTGACGTGCTGCACGGCGGAGCTGGCCTCGTGGGCCTTGATCTGCTGGTTTGTCCCCTGTGAGAGCAAAGATATGAGGCATTCAGTGAACCTCACTGCATTTCAAAGGGCAGAAAGGCTAACATACAATCCTAAAAGCAGCATTAGACACAAAGAGGGGAGGCCTATTTGCGCCAAGTTAACAGGGAACCTCTGCGCCTAAGGAGGGCTGTGCTGAGGGCCACCTGGCCACTGCATGCAGGGAAGGAGGCCACCAGATGTGGCAGAGCCAGTGCCCTGCAATGCCACAGTAAGGATCTCAGGGTTATCTCCCCATCCCTCCAGGTCATCTCAAGTGGCTTTTCATCAAGGGTTGACACTTGCAATCAAAGAAATCAAATTTTAAACTCATTATTGATCTATTACAAACTACTTTTTTCATTAAAATACAGTCTAAGCGGAAAACGTTTAGATACTCGTAGTTGTAGCCAGGTACTGCCACAACAGTCTAGTACAGTGTGAGCAAAGTAGGATTGGAAATAATTTACTAAAGTATCAATGTACTGGTTCAAATACACTGTATCCAAAGATGTATTGCTCCTCACCATTCCAGTGTACTTAGAAAAGTTACATACAAAACAAATACAATCTACAGAGTACATAAGATGTAGACCATTTTAGAGTCAGGAATCGTACTTCACATATTTAAGGAAATAATTTGTATGAAAATATAATTTGTTTTGCTATTGGAAAATTAAGAAGCCACAGAAAGCATTTTAATGATCTCCAAAACATATACTCTGTACATAGAATATTTATATATATATGTTGATATAAGTGTTACAATATATAAACATATATATACACATACACAGAGAGAATGAATGATACTACGTACGACAGAACAGGGGAGGCTCAGTCTCGCTAGAGACTCAAGCAAAGGAAGGCACAGTCATTCTTACTCTTTGGCTGTTCTCTTCCTCAGAAAATACTAAGATGCCAAGCTCTCTGTATTGACTTCATAATAATGTATTGGTGCTACATAAAATATACAATACTTAGTTTGAAGATTAAGATACATGTATTTAAATGAAAACTCGGTTCCAATTCACTAGCAATCTCAGCTGTGTTAAAAAATAAACAACAACAAAACACCAGATGCAGATTTCTCACACTACACGTGTGGCAGCAACAGAGGCGCTCTCCCCGCACTGTTCTCTGGGAGGTGTGCTCTCCAGGAGCTGTGCTTCCTTTTGTGCCTGTCCCCAGCTGGGGGTGAGAGTCAGCACAGACATGTACATCACATGCATTTATGGATACACACGTGTGTGATCCTTACGGCTGTGTACTGACACACACGCTGTTGAAACTATGCTCAGTTTCGTAATCGCTTCTGTTCAGGTAACAGCTAAAATTTCTGTAACCATCTGTCTGAAAACCCCACCCAATGTCAGGCCTATCTGTCACATTACTAGCTGGATTTGGATGCAGTGCTTCTCTTAATGTATTAGCTTCCACCTCAGCACAATGTCCACCTCAAGTCTCAAAGCACCAACTGGAAATCGAGCATCCCGCCTGCTGCACGTGGCTTTGCACCCATGCAGCAGGGTGTCTCAGGTTCATGACAAGGAATAAGCAGTCCAGAGCTTGCATGTTAAAAATGTTAATATAATAACTTTCTCTCACGGCAGAATGTCAGTGACTGGGAAGGACAAATGTCGGATACTGACCTGAAAAACGCAGCCATAGCGCTTAAAACTACAGGTGCTGGGGGCATTGACACACTCTGACAAGTGTGCACTCAACTGCAACGGGAAAGAGACGTGAGTTGTGGCACAAACGTTTGCATGAAAATGTTCAAACATATTAGGGCACAGATAGCATCTGAGCTGTACTATTAAGAATGGTGTTTATCGCTACAGGTGTGTAGATATCATCTGCTACCTAGACTTCTATGCAGTAAATATACTGTCTAGTCACGTGTATACACATATACGCCAATATACAAGAATACATTTACTATAACATTTCTTAAACTTGCAGTTTCTTTAGCGCAAATTGTTCAAAATGTGATATGCCATCTGTAGTGCCAGAATTTAAAAAAGAAAGAAAAAACATAAACTGAAATGCACATTTAAGGACCATAAACAAATTGCATGAAACACAAAAAAATAGAAAGCATTCAGAATGCAACTGGGTCACACACCTAATATACAGTACACAAAAATAAAAATATTTTCAAAGCGAGCTTACACAATGTACCATTACTCAAAATACTTGAGATAAGTGCAGATGAGTTTTTCCTTCATCTGAAAAGACTTTTTCCCTCTGTAAAGGCCAGAAACTCAGGTACTTTTTCAAAGACCTCTAAGATCAATCTAACAATGTGGTCTTAATACTGTCACCTCTAACTGATGTCAGGAAAACTAGGTGGGGCTGAGAGCAGATAACTCATCTGGCAAGAAAAAAGTCTCTTGCTCAGCTCAAATGCTGCTGAGTTATCAAACAAAAATTACTTACGATGCCCTAACAAGAGAAAAGGGAATGGAAAAGACTACATTTCAAAGACTTAGAGTCATGTGTTAGGCTAATACAAGTCAGGTACAGTTTTGTCTTTTACTTGCTTTATCATGCCCCAAGACTGAGCAGAAGTTCTGGCTTTTATTGAAGAAATCCCCATCAGGAAACTCTAGGGATAGATCTTCACAGGAAACAATCAGCCTCTCCTCAGGAGGATGGGTGCGTGAGTGCAGCAGCCTGGAACATGTCTCTCTGTGTGCCAGCACGCATGCGTGCCCAAGGCTCACAGAGCGAATCCTCCAGGAGGGTGCAGCTAAGTTCTACACTTCTCAGTCCACCAGGATGAAGGCGGTCCTTTCCTCTAGGTGGATATTTAGAACGGAGGGGAAAATGGACCCCTGCTGTGAAAGCTGAGGAGGAGGGGCAATGCAGGGAGGGCCTGAGGGCCCCACGTGACCACTGCTAGGGCCAACCTTCAAGGACGGTCTCAGAGCTAGGGCGGAGTCATGGTGGTAGGAACCTGGCAGCCTGATGCCTTTCCTGCTCCTCGGAACCTAGACTGGCTGCTCCTGCAAGAAGCGCCCACAAGGCGCATGACAGGTGACTGGCAGGGAAACGCAGCATGAAGACTGCAGAACAGCGTTAATTAAAAAATGTGGAATGTATTCTTCCACTGTCACTCCTGCAATAACAAAGCTGAGTGGCAACGCTATTACATGTTAAGCCAGGGACACACTGGGTGTGATGCATGTTATTTTTAGTGTACTACAGTAAATTCAGGGTTGGGCCTTTTCCGAAATTGGTTTTACTTTCAGTATTCTGAGTCTTAGGGAATCTGCAGGAGCCCTGGAAGAGAGGCAGGACTCATCTACAGCCCAACAGCACCTTTCACTAGAAACCCAACAGAAATGCAGGTTTAACAATGTTTTCAAAAAAAGAAATTATTCCAACAGCATGGACTCTTTATACATTAACAGAGGATTGTCCAGCTGTGGCAATAACTGACTGGTATTTTTCCCTAGCTCCCCCCAGGGGCACGTTCAGGGCCCAGAGAACACTTTCCTCAGGCAAGACTCTGCCCTCACCCACCGGCTTCAAGGTCCTGGGAGGGCACGCCTTGGGGGAAGAGCAGCTTCTGGGCCCTGAGTCCCTGGCCCTAGCCCCACATGGGCCCTCTTACCCAGTCAGGGACAGGCGAGGCTGGTTCTCCCTGCTACCCAATATCTAGGGGTAAAATTTCAGGCTGTTGAAACATGCTGAGGTGAGCAACCTCCTTAGGTCAGGGCACCACACATCCAGGGAGCCCAAGGTAGCCCCAGATAACTCCCAGAACATGCTCCAGGTCGGGACAGATGCAGAAACGTTAAGAATCCTTGAAACTTCCTGATGAAGTTAAGTCAATGCAAAATCCACCGATCTCGAAGAAACAGTGCCACGGGCCAGGTGAGGCAGGCGGCCTCTGGGGGGCCACAAGGGCCAGGCTGGCAGCCCTAAAACGTGGGCACGTCCTCCGCCCGGCATGTGTGAGCTTTGCTTCTGAAGTGTCTCTCAGTTCATTCATGTTCTTGAGATCATCTCACAGCAATTACTATTCTAGAAAGTTAAAATTGCTTTAAAAAGCACTTAAGTCACCTTTGCTTGTATTGTATAAAAGTATTTCCATTTTCTTAATGCTTCACCAATCTTTCCTCTGAATTTACCACACTGTAGTGTTTTTCTGTTTGTCTATTTTTTGAGACGGAGTTTCGCTCTTGTTGCCCAGGCTGGAGTACAATGGTGCGATCCTGGCTCACTATAACCTCCACCTCCAGCGTTCAAGTGATTCTCCTGCCTCAGCCACCACAACTGGCTAGTTTTTGTATTTTTAGTAAAGACGGGGTTTTACCATGTTGGCCAGGCTGGTCTAGAACTCCTGACCTCAGGGGATCCACCTGCCTCGGACTCCCAAAGTGTTGGGATTACAGGTGTGAGCCGCCATGCCCAGCCACATACTGTAGCTTTTAACTGCTTGCTTCTGACTTCTAAAAAATGGCATAAGGCTTTTTGCTGTGGTTTTTGTTTTTCTGCCATACACATGACTCTCATGAACTGGGAAAACGTGAGGCTTCGGCTATGCAGGGAGCCCTGAGGACTCCACAGACTCCCGGCTGGGCCCAGCCGTCCCTACCTCGCTCCTCAGGAGAGTCTGGACGCTGCACTTGTGAGGGCAGGACACCACCACGCAGGGACAGTCCGTGTCTTCATGTTTCTACAGAGAGAGAAGATACTGTCAGCTTTACACACACAACCTGTCTTCCTTAACCCGCTGAGGTCCCCATGGGGCCCCCAGGAATGGCTCTGCTCACCGTCTCGGCCCCTCAGTTATGGCACTCACATTATGTATGGCTGAGTCATTATTGGCACAGTGTTTGAGTGTCTCAGGACATCACAAGTATCTCCACAGATCTGGTGCTATCTGACCAGTGAGGGCGACGAGCCTGAGAAGTCACAAGGGCTTCCCCTGAGCACTGTCTCCTCTGTCCAGAGCTGCTCCTGGTCCACACAGCACCTAACATGCGGCGCTCAGGCAGATGTGGCCACACACGCTCACAGCATGTGGACAGCAGAGCTGCGGACCCAGCTGGTGTCTGCCTCTGCTGCTTCAGAGGAGGATCTCCCTTGGCCTCTCAGTCTGGAGTCTGGAAATGATGTTTCTCAAGTGAGAGCGCTGTGACCGACCGAGTATTTACATTACTAACCCAGAGCCTTAATCTAGATGATCGTTAGTCCATGGAGAATTGGGTGAGTTTTGGGTTAGACCTTCTCTGATGGCACAGACTTCACCGCAGCTGAGGCTGCCTGATGGCGACTCTTAAGCCCAGTGCCGTAGGTGCCTGCTGGGCAACTGTCCACGAGCAGACCAAGGGCAAGGACTCCCCACAAGGACATCAACTGCAGAGGCCCTGGGGAGAGACTGATGAGGCAGAGCCAGAGACGGAGCTGCACTGAACAGTCCCTGCTGAGAGGATGACTGTGGCAGTGGCTTCCCCGCGGCACAGACACCTCAACCCTCCCCCTCCATCTTTTCAGGTCCTTTTTTGGCCTCCAGTTATGCTATTGTTCTGCTGAACAAACTGGGGAGGCCTCGTTGAGAGCTGCTATCTGACTGGTGGGTCTGAGGGCAAGGAGGGCAGCGGCCCACCCAAAGCAAGCTCGTCCTTGGAACATGGGCACTCCTCTCCCCCAGGAGCTTGCTCTCCTCGGCATATTTCCAAGGCTCAACTCTGCAGGCACCCACGGTGGGTCTGCGGCACAGGAGGAACACCTACAAGGTCAGAGCTCTCCTGCTCCTGGGCCTGGTCCCAAGGCCCACAGTGCCCACCAAGGGCCAGTCCATCACCATCCCAAGCTGAACAGCAGGCACTGGACGGGCCCAGCCTGACAACAGGCCTTACTCAGGGGAGATGACACATGGGGACGGCAGGGCACTGGATGCAGACTCCCACCCAGCCTAGCTGCGCTCAGAGCCACAGTCCCCAGCACCATCGTCCAGGCTTCCTTTGTCTTTCAGTGGGAAACCCTGGCACAGGTGGCTTCACCTCCCTGGCCTCACACATCATCTGTAAATGGGTTGGCTGGAGCTCACTCCCAGGATGCTGAGGGCTGACTGAGGTTAGGTGCCTGGAGAGCCCAGCACAGGTCTGGAAACGTGGTAAGTGCTCTGTGGATGCTGAGCCTCCTCCGAACCCACCCTCACTCCACCTCTATTCACCCGGCAGGAAGCTGGCCAGTATGGGTATCAGCACGGAGACAGCTGGATGAAGACTGACAATCCCCACTGCAGCCAGGCAGAGGGAGACTAGCATGCCTCTGGAGAATAGGGATGGACCTTGGGGCAGGAAGGCTGAGGAAGAAGGGCATGGAGGGAAGCAGTGTGGCCAGGGAAGAGGAGACCAATCAGTATCTTTCTGTGTTTAACTTCCAACAACCCCACACCAAACTACACTCCCAGTAGCATGGGGATGGGTGTTTCCACACCCTTGCCAATTTATTGCAAAATCTTTGGCAATCTGATAGGTAAAAAAAATGGGGTGAGTGGGACCTGCAATTCTTTAGTAATGTGTGGTTAAGCATACATATGTATTTTTTATTTTTTCGAGATGGAGTCTGTAGCCCAGGTTGCAGTGCAGTGGTGCGATCTCAGCTTGCTGCAACCTCCGCCTCCTTCAAGCGATTCTCCTGCCTCAGCTTCCCAAGGAACTGGGACTAAAGGTGCGCGTCACCATGCCCAGCTAATTTTTATATTTTTAGTAGAGGCAGGGTTCACCATGTTGGCCAGGTTGGTCTGAAACTCCTGATCTCAAATGATTCATCCACCTTGGCCTCCCAAAGTGCTGGGATTACATGTGTGAGCCACCGCACCCAGCCTTAAGCATATTTTTGATATTAATTGTTTCTATTTCTTTTCCTGTGCTGCCTTTTCACAGCTTTTTGCTACTACAGTAAGTTGAACAATGTCCCCAAAAATTCTCGTCTATCTAGAAACTCAGAATGTGACCTTATTTGGAAACAAGATTTCTGACGATGTAATCAGTTAAGATGAAGACAGCCTGGCATCGGGCAGACCCTAAATCTAAACACTGCTGTCCTTAGAAGAGGCGAGGACATGCATTAGAAGACAGCCATGTACATGGGGGCAGAGGCTGGTGAGCCATGAGCCAAGGAAGGTCAAGGCCTGCTGGCGGCTCCGGGAGGGGCAGGGAAGCCTTCTTCCCAACAGTTGTCAGAGACAGCGGAGCCTTGGTTTTGCATTTCTAGACCCAGAACTATGACAGGATAAATTTGTTTTGCAAGCCAGCAACTTTGTGGTACTTTGGTACAACAGCCAAAGGAAAACAACACATTCGTTAAAAAAAAAAAAAAAAACCCTGAATCTTCTGATTTTTCATTTGCCTATTAATGAAATCAGTCCTATCTATGAAATTAAATGTAATTCTGATACACACAAGCATATATGTGCATACACATATGAGATGAAAAGCATAGGCCAGGTGTAGTGGCTCACACTTATAATCCCAGCACTTTGGGAGGCCGAGGCAGGTGCATCACCTGAGGTCAGGAGTTCGAAACCAGCCTGGCCAATATGGTGAAATCCTGTTTCTACCAAAAATACAAAAAAATTAGCCAGGCGTGGTGGCACACGCCTGTGGTCCTAGCTACTCAGGAGGCTGAAGAGGAAGAATTGTTTCAACCCAGGAGGCGGAGGTTGCAGTGAGTCGAGATTGCACCACTGCACTCCAGCCTGGTGACAGAGCAAGACTCTGCCTCAAAAAAAAAAATTAGCTGGGAGTGATGGCAAGCACCTGTAATCCCAGCTACTCATGAGGCTGAGCCATGAGAATTGCTTGAATCCAGCAGATGGAGGTTGCAGTGAGCCGAGATCATGCCACTGTACTCCAGCCTGAGTGACAGAGTGAGACTGTCTTAAAAAAAAAAAAGAAAGAGAAAAAGAAAAGTGTAATTACATAATGAACACTCATGAAGCCAACACCAGGTCCAGGGGCATGACAGGTAATGTCCATCTACCTGTGTCAACCTCTCCCACCTTACCCTCATTCTCCCCCAGGGAGTTCCCATTAAAACCACAACCCTGAATTTTGTATTTCTGCTTCTAAAAAGGTTTCACCACACATATGTGCGCCAAATGAAACACTGATTTTTGTTTTAATTTTGTTAACACAGACTTCTATCGTGGGAGTCTTCTGGACTTGGCTCACTATTACGCTTCAGACTAATCTGCCGATTGCGAATAACTTTCCCTACTGCATGGCACACCTCCCTGTCGTAGAATAACACGGGAATACAATTTCCACCTGCTGATGGGTGCTCCAGCTGTTTCCAGATTTCCGATGCTCTGGTCACACCTGGCCACATTTCCTGGTGTGTGTGTATGTGTGTGTGTGTGTGTGTGTGTGTGTGTGTCTGTGTGTGTATGTGGCAGTTTCTCCTATACATCCAGGGGAAGAACTGCTGGTTAACTGAATGCCTGAGTGTCCAACCTAACAGGACACTGACAGTTGATTTCCAAAGTGGCCAAACCTACGTAGACTTCCACAACGTATGCTCTCCCGTAGGGTGAGATCTCTATCACCCTGATCTTCACTAGTAATAGAACTGTTTAAAGAACGATAGTCCAGGATTTCTGGACTAAATCTAGAAGGTTTCCTGACACTTTAAATTATGCTGACCTATAAATTTAAAAAAGGATAAAACTTGAAAATAGCTGCTAGACTGTATATACCACAGTTGAAATGTAGAAAAGAGATTCTCAAATGAACTGCAACGGTCCAGAGTCTCGATGCGTCCTCAGCACATTTTATCAACATTGGATCTTGTGACACACCACAAGCAGGGAATGCAGGAGAACTGGAATGACCTGGGCTCTCGGCCTCCCTGTATCAGAACTGTTCTTCTTAGAAATAAACTCAATGAAGGCCTGAGGGGATGAAACTAAGGGTGTTAGAGTTGAAAAAAACAAAATATGTGGGAACCAAATCACATCACTGAACAGAGAGGTGAACGAGGGCAAGTCACAGAACTAGGCCCGGAGCGAAGGAAGCCAACCAGCAACAGCCCTCCCCTCATCAGGCTGAGAGGCAGGGCAGCTGCACTAGCCGGACCCCGAACACCTGTGCTTGCTGAGATGCCTGCCCGCCCCAAGAGAAGCCGACACACGCCTTAAGATGCACTCTACTACCCACACTGCTCTAGCGGGTTTAAACTAGTGTCATCTCAAGCATGCAGTGTGATTTATAAGGAATATTTGCACAACTCAGCCCCCAAACTTGCTCATTATCATTCTGTGCTTTCCATCGACTCTCTTTCTCCTGTGTCTTTAGTTGACTAATTCAAGACCCAGATCAAACGAAAGGCAACCTCCTCCCTAAAACCTTCCTTGCCACTCAGGCTACGCTATTGTAACTGGTCCTTCCTTGTTGGCATGTTATTAATGTTACAATCGCAGTACTTCCCATACTAACAGGAATTAAACTGTGCATCTGGCTGTCTCTCTCATCAGACTGTAAACTGAAGTAGACAGTGTGACTTATTCTCATGTACACCCTGAGCAACCAGGGCAGGGTCTGGCAGCGTTTCATGAATCCATATGCTACGCTGGTGCTTGAAACCTGACCTGTTACAGCCTCATCTGGTGTTCAGCGTCAGCTTAACAGACATGCTCTACAATTCCTGCTCAACAAAAATCAGTCGTTGGATTCTATTCTGCAATAAAGGTAACTGATTTTGGCAAGAAGCAAAGTATAACTTTGATAGCTATGTATTTATTTAAGTTCCAGGGTGCATGTGCAGGACGTGCAGGTCTGCTACACAGGTAAATGTGTGCCACGGTGGTCTGCCGCACAGACCAACCCATCAGCGAGGTGTTAATCCCGGTGTCCATCAGCTGTTCTTCCTGGTGCTCTCCCTCTCCTGACCCCACAGGCCCCAGGGTGTGTTCATCCCCCCAGTGTGCCTATGTGTTTTCATGATTCAGCTCCCACTTATAAGTGAGAGCATGTGGTGTTTTTCTGTGTTCCTGCAATAGTTTGCTAAGGATAATGTCTTCCAGCTCCACCCATGTCCCTGCAAAGGACATGATCTCCCTCTTTTTTTTTTTTTGAGACGGAGTCTTGATCTGTCACCCAGGCTGAAGTGCAGCGGCATGGTCTCAGCTCACTGCAACCTCCGCCTCCCATGTTCAAGCGATTCTGGTGCCTCAGCCTCTGGAGTAGCTGGGATTACAGGCATGTGCTATCACCCCTACCTAATTTTTATGCTTTTAGTAGAGATGGGGTTTTACCATGTTTGCTTGAACTCCTGACCGCAGGTGATGCACCCGCCTTGGCCTCCCAAAGTGCTGGGATTACAGGTGTCAACCACCATGCCTGGGAGATCTTCTTTCTTTTCTTTTTCTTTTTTGAGATGGAGTTTCACTCTTGTTGCCCAGGCTGGAGTGCAATGGCACAATCTTGGCTCACTGAAACCTCCGCCTCCCAGGTCCATCAATTCTCCTGCACAGCCTCCTAAGTAGCTGGGATTACAGGCATGTGCCACCATGCCTGGCTCATTTTGGTTTTTTCAGTAGAGATGGGGTTTCTCCATGTTGGTCAGGCTAGTATCGAACTCCTGACCTCAGGTGATCTGTCTGCCTTGGCCTCCCAAAATGCTAGGATTACAGGCATGAACCACCGCGTCCAGCTGATCTCCTTCCTTTTTACGGATACATCATATTCCATGGTGTATATGGATCACATTTTCTTTATCCAGTCTATCACTGATGGGCATTTAGGTTGATTCCACATCTTTGCTATTGTGAGTACTGCTTCAATGAACATACATGTGCACGTATCCTTATAACAGAATGATTTATATTCCTTTGGGTATAGAGCCAGTAATAGGACTGCTGGGTCAAATGGTATTTCTGCCTCTAGATCTTTGAGGAATCGCCACACTGTCTTCCACAATGGTTGAACTAATTTACACTCCCACCAACAGCATAAAAGCATTCCTTTTTCTCTGTAAACTCGCCAGCACCTGTTGTTTTTTGACTTTTTAATAATCACCATTCTGACTGTCATGACATAACAATATATTAACATACGTCAAGCCTGAAGTCTTGTTTATCAGGCATGTGTCTCATTCACTGGAATTTAACAACTGGAGGGATTATTATTTTCGTTCTAGACAGGGGGTCTTGCTTTCTTGCCCAGGCTGGTCTTGAACTCCTGGCCTCAAGCAATCCTCCTGCTTTGGCCTTCCAAAGTGCTGGGATTATAGGCATGAGCCATCACACATAGCCTGGAGGAATTATTTTAACTATGACAAAACACTATTGCTATTTTCCAAAGAAAGGGGAAGACACAGTTCTTAGAAGTCCTTTTTTTTTTTTTGAGACAAGGTCTCACTCTGTCACGTAGGCTGAGTGCAGTGGTGCCATCATGGCTCGCTACCAGTCTCAACCTTCCTGGCTCAAGTAATCTTCCTGCTTCCACCTCCCAAGTAGCTAGAAATACAGGTATGCTCTACCACACCCAGCTAAATTTTTACTGTTTACAGAGGCAGAGTCTTGTTGTGTTGCCCACCCACACTGGTCTCCAGCTCCAAAGCTCATGCAGTCCTCCTGCTTCAGCCTCCCAAAGTGCTGGGCACACAGGTGTGAGCCACCACACCTGGCCTCAAAAGTTCTTAATAACTAGAAACATCTGAGGTATCATACAAGAAAAAGATCGTGTGACGTAAGAAAGACATGGGCACAGAAAAATTACAGAAAGCAAGGCAAATACAGAGGTTATGAAGTATTTACCACGAAAACCCATGGCAAAAACTGCAATTACTTTTGCACCAACCTAAGAGAATACATCTTACTTCAGAGAGAAAAGCAAAGGAAAGTCCCTACATTTTGGTCGTGAGAGCTCCATGCTGGGCGTGATGGCTCTCACCTATTAGGCTGAGGTAGGCAGATGGCTTAAGCCTAGGAGCTGGAGACCAGCCTGGGCAACATGGCGAGACTCTGTCTCTACTAAAAAATACAAAAATTAGCCTAGCATGCACCTGTAGTTCCTGAGGTGGGAAGACTGCTTGAACCTGGGAGGCAGAGACTGCAGGGAGCTGAGATTGTGTCACTGCACTCTAGGTCTGGATGACGGAGTGAGACTCTGTGTTAAAAAAAACAAAAAAACAAACAAAACAAAAAACACCACTCCACAGTATCTGGCAGGAACTGGATGGTGGCTGCACCCTGGCTGAGGTGTCCTGGTACCTCCCCTCAGTCACTTCATGGCTAAGCCCACCCCAGCCTCTCAGCAGCCTTGGAGAGTATGCCCAGGCCCCCATGAGTTCTCTCCTCCTCTACACTCGGTCCAGCCCCAAGGCCCTGCAAACCACCACAGTCACCTGCACCTGCAGCCTGCATATCTTCACTCCCCATTCTCCCCCAAGTCTATCACCCTCCACTCACTGGGCACCCCCTCAGCAGGATACCCAGGTTCTCCACAAGCACTGGGTGTTACCCTTACCTCATACCCAACCTGCTGGCCAATCCTACCGCCCCAGTACAACTGCCCCCCACCCCAGCAACACCAGGCCTTGCCCTGAGGCCCCACGCACCTCCACGCTCTGGAGTGTCCAGTGCCTTTCCCTCCCCTTCTGGCTGCCGCACCGCCCTCACATCTAGCCTGTGCTCCACACAGCTCCTGAACCCCAAAGCCTTGCCAGTTCCAGCTCAGGGTCCACACCCTCCCTTGCTGTCCTATGACTGCTTCAGAGAAGCCAGTGCTGAACGTCCTTCTTTCCCGAGTCTGCCTGATGTTTATTCACGGCACTGATCACCACCTGATGTTACACATTTGTTAGTATCTTTTTCCGATAGAGGAGCTTCACCATTGAGTCCCCAGCTCCTGGAACGCTGCTCTGTGCACAGTAGGTGCCCAATAGGTATTTGTTCAACAAATGGATCATTTTAGAAGTGTGTCTTCCACCCCCAACATCTCTGCTTTCCTCTTTAATTCACAGACTCAGGCACACACTCACCCACATTCACACACTCAGCCCCACACTCTCTCACACACAGAAACACGCAATGCAGAACTGTGCCAGTATAACCCAAGTATGAGAAGTTCTCTCTCTCCAAGATAAACAGCTGCATTTCAATGCTGTAGGATAAATTAGCCTGTTTAAGTGATGGTTATGTCACAGAGCTAATAAGATCAGGCAATTTATCAACATTTTGAGGCCCTTCCCTAGGACAAGTTAGAAATTCTACCTTTTTTGAATAGCTATTCATTTTCTGACACCCCAAATGACAGCCAATCAAGGCAATGGGAAATGTTAACTAAATGAATCAAAATAGGCAAAACAAATAAAGCTTAACTCTGAAATGAAGTCTGATAAAAACTGCTATTTACTCCCATGTTTTCTCTTTATTCCTGTTAGAATAGTCATTTAAAAAGCTACTCAGCGGGAAGATGATCTATGAATTGGGCAGAAGGTGTGTGAACGGGAAAAACACCCGCACCTGCAGTGTGATCATCGGAACCTGACTCTTGCAGTGGCTGCACGTGGCTTCCCGGTATTTACACGCCTTCTCCACGTGGTCTCGCAGGTCTTTCCTCAAGACCTTCTCTTTGCAGTCAGTACGCACACATGGAAGTTCTTCAAACTGGCAATCATTTTTTAAATGCACCTGTAAGACAGAACATTCCAAGTTCTCAACTGGGCAAAAATCCCTCGATCTGAAATGCCAGATTCTAATCTGTACGCAATGAAACCCTAAAGAAGGTTTCTCCTTTGCTGTTAGACCAGTCTTTCACAGCAGAGTATCAAATATGCCAAGAGACACTGAATCTCATATTCTATTTCGTGATTCCTCAAACTATACTGTTGTCGAAGAGTAAGTGAACACTGCTTCCTGGAGAGGTAAACGAGTATCTGCGAAGAACTTTGCTTTATTCCAGTTCAAATAATTTTCTAGGCTAAAATATGGTACTAATAAAAAAAAAATACAGGAAGTTATGTCAAATTTCAGGGGCCTTCTAAAATTAAGATCCAGCTCGGATTTTCTCTATCATAAATAGGATTGGGAGTGTTTAAGAACCAGCTGGCAACTCTGTCAATGATGTCACAAAAATAACAACTTAAGAGAGTGGTTCTCACTGCTTTCCCATTTGGCTGCGTTTTGAAAGACTAACGTCAACATGGTCTTAAAGGGCCACATCCCACTGATCACTCCATCCGCTGGACGTGAGAAACTCGGGCTCCTTCAGGTGCGAGCCTCCAGTGCCCCGGCGCTACTCACCAACAGATGCCCCAGCGTCAGCTGCTCTGCACAACCTCGGCTCTCATTCCGACAGTAGATCTGAAGAGCAAGGATTTCTCTCTTGCAACAATTATCCTTAAACACCTGAAAATGAGAGGTCACTATTTTAGAGGATTAATACTTCTTCATCTCCACATGCTGCTACTTTGGACAATGCAAAACCACTTTAAAAAAAAAACACAAGAGAGCAACTATTAAGTGGACTTCAGAAAGCATTAAGGACCATCTTGATTTCTACAAGTAGAATGAAGAAGCTGCCCCTACTAAGAGACACAATTTAAACAACATTAACTGTTACCTTTTATTAAGTTAAGCCAAAAGAAAATGAATTAACTTAATAATTAAAGGTCACTCTGGAGCATCTAAACATCTTCTATTAACTTCATAATCTCAGGACGAGGGCAGAGGAGGACTAGGTTCACAGTCAGACTCTGGGGCCTTCCGGGAGCCAGCACTGAGCAGGTGGCCATCGTGGTCCGGCTGCCACCAGAGGACATGAGCAGAATCTGACACAACTAAACACATTTTATAGATTGCTTGCTGGAGAAAGGGAGGGACCACGTCAGAGATCATATGTGGGGAATGATTTGTAAAACTGTTGATTCCTTCTAACGGTCATGCTGTTAAAACTTATTTTTCACCAAAAAAGCAGCATTAGCCATTAGCCTGCGGTTGAAAAAAAACTCTCTTAAAACATATATTGCAGTATGAAGTTAGTCTAACAATGAAAACATTTCCCTGTGAAAATGAAAACGAGGCTGGGCATGGTGGCTCAAGCCTGTTATCCCAGCACTTTGGGAGGCCGAGGCAGGAGGGCTGCTTGAGCCTGGGAGTTTGAGACCAGCCTGGGCAACCCAATGAGACCTATCTCTACAAAAAAATTTTTTTTAATTAGCTGGACAAGGCAGCAAGCACCTGTAAATCTCAGCTTCTCAGGAGGCTGAGGCAGGAGGACTGCTTTAGCCTGGGAGCTCGAGGATGCAATCAGCTGTGATCAAATCACTGCACTCCAGCCAGGGTGACAGTGTGAGACCTCCATCTCTTTTTAAGAAAAAAGAAGAAAATAATAAAAAAACCTTTCAACTTTTCTTAATTTTATTTTTCCCTTACAAAACACAAATATTCTCACCTTTTTTTTTTAAGAGACAGGGTTGGCCAGGAGCCATGGCTCATCCCTATAATCCCAGCACTCTGGGAGGCTGAGGCAGGTGGATCACCTGAAGTCAGGAGTTCGAGACCAGTCTGGCCAACATGGTGAAACCCCATCTCTACTAAAAATACTTTTTTAAAAAAATTAGCTGGGTGTGGTTGCAGGTGCCTGTGGTCCCAGCTATTTGGGAGGCAGAGGCAGGAGAATAGCTTGGACCCAGGAGGTGGAAGTTGCAATGAGCTGAGATCATGTCATTGTACTCCAGCCTGGGTGACAGAGCGAGACTCTGTCTCAAAAAGAGATGGGGTTTCACTCTGTCACCCAGGCGAGAGTGCGGGAGTGCAGTCATGGCTCACTACAGCCTTAAACTCCTGGGCTCAAGCGATCTTCTCACCTCAGCCTCCTGAGTGGACTGAACCACAGGTGCACGCCACCAAGCGCAGGTAACTTTAATTTTCACTTTTGTACAGATGGGGTCTCCATATGCTTCCCAGGCTGGTCTCCAACTCCTGAGCCCAAGTCATCCACCTGCCTCAGCCTCCCAAAGTGCTGGGATTACAGGCGTAAGGCACCTACCCATCCCTCTCTCACTCTTTCTAACAACATAACCTACAATCTTGGTCCAAAGGCATTTCTAAGAAACTCGCGCCTGTTGCTCTATGAAGGTGGAATAACAGGACTGCTGAGAGAAATAGAATCAACAGCTGTTAAGAATAAACTAATTTGGAGCCGAAGCTTTTCTTTCATAAACATGACTAAATAACAAAAAGGTCATGACTTAAGATACTAAAGTCAACAGAACTTTGGAATGGAAAAGATCTGAGACTATTTACTCCAAATGTCCCTGTTTACAGATGAGGACCAGAGGCCCGCATCCCTGGATGAACCTGCTGACGGGTAGACCCGGGTCACCCAGGGCCCAGACAACTCCACTCTTTCCATGAGGGTCCACAGCTTGAGTGTATCTCATTCATGATTCTTTGACAAAACTTGTCAATTTTTCTTCAGCTACTAATGTCATTAAAAAACGGGGATAATGATTCTGCATAACGAAACAGAGGTACTAAAAAAATCATCTTAGCCATTGTTGTGAGCTTCTCTCTCACTCACATGTTAGGCACATGTTCACGAGGCAGCCTGGGACCATGCTAGGACAAGGTACAGAGCAGATGGGAGGGGCTGCCTTCCCTCACAGGAACTAACCAAGTCTTCGGTAGTAGGAAGTCAATGTGGAGTAAGGAAAGGTACAGGGCCGTGTGGCCAATTCCACCTCTCCGCCTTCCAGAGTGGCTCTATCTGATGCCCTTGTCTCTGCCAGCAATCCTCAATTCACTGCAGTCACCTGGGTTGCCCTGACTAACAAACCCAGTCTGCAAGGTGCTTTAGACAGGAAAACCCCAGAGCAAGAACTTTATTGTACAACTTAATGACCTGCATTTAAAAAATGGTTAGATTCATTATTTAAAGTATAGAAACACACATTTTTATTGACATTTTAAGCACTTTGAGAATGAATTGCTGGGTACAGTGGCTCACGCCTATAATCCCAGCACTTTGGGAGGCTGAGGTGGGCAGATCACCTGAGGTCAGGAGTTTGACATCAGCCTAACCAATGTGGTGAAAATCCCATCTCTACTAAAAATACAAAAATTAGCTGGGCATGGTGGCTTGTGCCTATAATCCCAGCTACTTGGGAGGCTGAGGCATGAGAATCGCTTGAACCTGGGAGGCGGAGGTTGCAGTGAGCCGAGATTGCATCACTGCGCTCCAGCCTGGGAGACAAGAGCGAAACTCCACCTCAAGAAAAAAGAACGAATTGTTTCAAACTCCAAGTGTGCCTGGCAGGGTTTAGCAGCACATGGATGACTTGCTGTCCATGAGAAGCACCAGGCCCCAGGAGAGAAGCTGGATGTGCAGACACACCCACAGGCTCTAGCTGAGGACAACCACAGCGGGTGAGAAGGAGCTGATCTCATTCACGGCTAATGACTTCAACATATCACGGGGGCGGGAGGGGGTGGGGAGTGCAAACTCAGATGAAGCCCTCAGCCTAGCATGTCTGAAGGTAAAATGCAGTGTAAGAGCTGAGTAGAAGCTGTCTGGGATAAAGACCCATGATGACAGACATGACCCAACCACAGACAGCTCTCGTCTCGGCACTTGGCTCGCATGACCCCCTTACTCCTCACGCCAGCTCCCAGTGGTCCCGGCAGGTGATACGATTATGACGTGTGAGGAGGAAAGGAGCTCACGGAGCTCACACCGCAGGGGAGTGGCCAAGTGGATCGGAACCCACCGTCCACCCAGGTCATCATGTGGCACACTGTCCCGCCTGGGAGGCTGCGGCATCGCTGCCAAAACTGAGGGAACGTGTCATGCCAGAATGCCGAACACAAACTATGTGAAGAGTATTACCCAGCGGAAAACGTGACAAAATGACTTAAAAAAAAACAAGAATACCTTATCTTTAATGATGCTCTCTTGACACGCGGTACATTTTGGACTTGAAGAGCTGTGGGGAAACGACATGACTGCATTAGAGGGGAGTCCCTTTCTTGAGGGGACTCACGAGATTCCCGGAGCTTGCACTCTACGGTCAGGTCTGCGCAGGAGCTCACAGCAATGAGCAGAGCTTCAAGTCGCCCTGGTGATTTGCGTTACGGAGGAAGCCATGGGAGAAAAGAGCTGCATTTTTTAAATGGTGATTTTTCAAAAGGAAGTTACCAAGCAGAACAGTTTAGTTCAGTCCCACTTGGAAAGCCCCCTCTGCTTAATGTAAAAGTGAAATTTTATTTCAGAAACCAGAGCCAGGTGTCTGTGGAGCAGCTCTTCAGTGTAAACACCTGTTTACTCGGAGAGCCTTGTCCTGCTTTGTAAAAGCAGCCAGCCCTTCTTCACAGGCCATTTGCCTCACTGTCTATTGGAAGGCCAGCGGCACCCACACAGGCGGACCAGCCTCCCTCCCCTGTGGCCACTCTATAACGGGGCTCCAGCCCCTCCTGCACCGGGAGGCTTCTCCTGGGCCCACAGTGTTGTCCAGCTCTTGTGCTAGGAGACATGGTGTTCTGTGTCTCCTGTGCTGTCACTAAGCCCAAATGTCATTTTGCCCCCAAGTGGGCAAAGGTGAGTTGACTCTTTTGGATGAGTGGGCAAGACCACAGAGCAAAGCACAGAGAAGGAGTGGGCGGGCAGGTAAGTGACAGGACGGGGGCTGGCTGCTGGGCCCAGGCTGGGGCTCAGGGGCAGCCTGGGCTTGAGTGCTGTTGGGGGAGGAGCTGGCAACCTTCCCAGGCCAACATGCCCTGAAAGCAGTGGCCAAGATCAGGGTATCCTGTGGCCACCCCAGCACCCAGCACAATGCCAGAAACATGAGGCCTGCAGGGTGAATCCAGGTGCTGTCCTGGTGAACGCTATGCTGCAGGGAAGCACCAGCCTGCCTTCATGATCCTCCAGCAGTGCTGGCACTGGCACCGGCACTCAGCAGCAAAGGGCTGCCAAGGGCTGGGTGCACATTCCACACGCGCCTGGTACGTAAGCGTGCGGCCCAGGTTTCTGCTCCGGTAGGGACCCACCCAGTCCTTGAGGCTGACCCCCTCCTCCCTCCTCTCTCTCCAGCACCTTGCACACCAGTACACGTGCCCTCAAATGACTGGCTTATTTCCTGGTGTGTCTCCTCCAGAGAACTGTGAGCTTTCACAATAAAATACAGCAACACATACAAGGGGCACCAAGGCTCTGTGGATGGAGTGGAAAGACGCAGCGGGATGGATCAGAGGCATGGTGGCCTCAGTGAACTCAGATGAGGGGTCCCGCTGCATCTCCCTAGCGGATTCACAAGCGGGGCCCAGGGGCTTTTACGGACTTCTTCAGGGCTCTACACTGCTAGAGGTTTTATTTGAAAGGAAGGAATGAAGGACAGAGTGAGGCCAAGGGCCGAGGAGGCGGCGCGTTGGGGGCTGGACAAAAGCGCCTACCTCAGCAGAGCGGCCATGCAGCTCTCGCAGAAGCGGTGGCCACACTCAGTCTGCTTCGGGCTGCACAGCACCAGGTGGCACTTCTCACACTTGTACTTGTCCTCCACGGCCTTCACAAACTTCTCCTTGTAACCTCCTTGCTCAGGGACAAAAATCGGCGTCCCAGCACTGCGGTCAGTGTGCAGCTTCAGGGGCGGGTTGGTCTGCAGTGTGCCCGGGGAGTCCATCTTCTTACTTGACTCCATTTTAGGAAGGAGGAGTTCTGCTGGGAAGAACAGTAAAGAGCGCGCCATCATACCTTCTCATGCCAGGAAACACACACAGCTTTGGGAAGGCAAAAGCCCCGAGACGTGCTGTCTTTTGGTTTTAACACAAGAATCCTTCCAACTTTAGTATGTGTTGGGAACAAAACATGATCAAATATGTTTCCTTCCTTTCTGTTTTACCCAAACACAAAGAAACTACTGATATTACTATTCAAAGAACTTCCTAAAAGGTGTACTTGATAAATTGGGCCAGGCACAGTGGCGCATACCTGTGGTCCCGGCTCTTTGGGAGGCTGAGGTGGGAGGACTGCTGAGCCTGGGAGGTAGAGGCTCCCCTCAGCTATGACGGCACCCTAGCACTGCAGTCTGAGTGCAGAGAGAGGCCGCCTCCACAAATTTAAAAAAGTTAATAAACAGAGTATTTTTGAGGTTTAAAAAATTACACATACTACTTTGCTGAATTCAATGCATCATTCTGAGCTTTTGGCTGAAACAACAGATGCTCTCAGCCAGTTTTCCTTCCTCACTGATTTCTGCTAGAGGAGTCTCGATGCCACAACTCAGGGTGGCCTGGTCAACCTGCTTCTGCAGCCCAGGAGCTGCTCATTCCCGGGGAAACCCTGTGAGATGTGCCCACAGTACCCAAAGTGCTCCGTTTTGACATCCACCCGCATCTTATTAATCTACCACCACCATGACCCAGCAGGCTGAGCGCAGAGCTGCGGGGTGGGCCCACTGTGGACCCACAGGGCACGCCACACCACACTGCGCTGGTGAGGAGCGTGTGAGGAGTGTGGCTCCCTGCGTGCAAGAGGGGACTCAGGTAGATGCCAATGTACCCAAGGGCTGTGCTGGTAGAGGGGACCCCACGCAGAGCGGGTCTGTCTGAGCCGACTCTTCCACACCTGCTGACAAGGACTCTGCGAGACTGGCTGCCTCCCACCTGCGGGTTCCCACCAACAGGTAAAGCAAACAGCTCCCCAGTAGGAGCCACAAAGGTCCCGGCCTGCACAGCTCTGCCAAAGGAGACCTCAAAATCAAGTAAACGAAAATAACCAGGAACATGAAGGAGCTGAACTGAGTTCCTGAAGAAACTCGAGCTCTAATAAAAATTACACTGTGCACTCATAAACACACTAATAGTTTGATCAATCTTCCTATATACATGCCAACACTTATCCAAAGCACAAACTAAATGTTTCCAGACGGTGGGATGAGGTCTGGCTTCTCTGGTCTTTGTTTTCTGGATACCGTGCAGTGGCCATTTTTGTAAGGAAAAAAAACCTTGTGAACGCTGGCCAGTGTGGAGGTCAGTTTGCACACTATGAATTCTTGAAAACTTTTTGCCCAGTGCCTTACAACCTTTATGAGACCTCTGCAGGGCAGCTCCGGCCCGGATGCCCTCCTGGTCTCAGGCTCAGCACTCTTCCCTCCTGCAACAGCCCCTGGCCGGCCCTGCACCCCCATGCACCTTGGTAAGGAAGGAGGGGCTGTGAAGGGAGGAGAGGGACCCAGTACGCACCAGACTCAGGAGCCTCAGGGAACACCGCTGCCTCAAGCAGCCGCCTCACATCAGCCACCTCTGCACTACAGGACTTTTCTTGTGTAGATTTTCCCACCTCCACACCTCCTCCATCCTTTCCCATGATACGGTAACGCCTCAGGTAAACAGAGGAGGTTTCTTTCAAGACTAACTCACCAGCTCCCTCAAAAATGCACTGGGTTCCTGCACTCAATTCATCTATTTTTGCTACTGAGAGAAGGAGGAGCCACATTCCTTCCACTCCTGAGGTCCTGGGCATCCCGGGGAGGTAGCTGTTGGGTGGGCGGGCAAAGCCCCTCCTTCCAAGCCCCATTCTTGCTGCCTGCATGAAGCTGAGAGGCACATGAGCTGACAGCCTCCCAGCCCAGCTTCACAGCTAGGAGAAAACAGGAATGAACGCTGGCAGCAGAGAACTTCAGAGACCGACGAACTGGCCTTCCAGCCATTGGGTCAGCTTCACAAAACACTGCTGTGGCAAAGGGTGGGAAATTGCTTATTTGTGAAAACAGAAAGTTTTTAAAACGTTGATGTTAAAATATATGTATCATAGGTGTGTTTTCTGTCTTTGCTCACAAACTTGCTGGTCCATTACGATGCTCACTCATCTTTCCACACCAAAAAGCAAGGGCAGCTGGTGCTAGCCTTGCCCGCCAGGTAACAGGGTCAACCAGCCTCGACCTGTGGCCCCAGCCCTGGCCGCCACTCTGCTCTCCACACTGGCCCGATGTCTCTCAGATGCTCTGGGCTCCCCAAGGCCCAGCCAGGCCACTGCAGAGCCTACCCAGACACATGCAGGCCAGCCCCCCACCTTCTCCAGGAGGCCACCGTCCCACCCTCCCCTCTCTCTCAACTCCTGCAACCTGCTCTGTGCTTTCCCGGCCCTCTTGCTGTTAAGACTGCATATAACTAAGTTTCTCCAGGGTATATCCCCTAGAACAGAGAATCAGGAACTGGCAAACTACAGCCTCTGGGTCAAATCTAGCCAGAAGCCTATTTCTGTAAAGTCTTTGAACTAAGAATACTTTTTAGATATTTTTTTTTTTTTTTGAGATGGAGTCTTGCTCTGTTGTTGCCAGACTGGAGTAAAGTGATGCCATCTCAGTTCACTGCAACCTCTGCTTCCTGGGTTCAAGCGATTCCCCTGCCTCATCCTCCCGAGTAGCTGGGACTACAGGCACGCTGCGCCACCACACCCAGCTAATTTTTTATATATTAGTAGAGGTGGGGGTTTCACCATGTTGGCCAGGATGGTCTCGACCTCGTGATCTGCCCACCTTGGCCTCCCAAGGTGCTGGGATTACAGGCATGAGTCACCAGGCCCAGCCTGCTTTTTAGATTTTTAAAGTGTTAAAAAAGAAAGACTAAGTGTGTATGTGGTTGACAAAGCCTAGGATATTTACTCTCCTGTCCCTACCAGTCCCTGCTCTGGACTCTACGTCTAGAGAGCACAGAGGAGTTGCTGGCGGGTAACTTGTGTGAAAGGCCAACTTTGTAAATGAGCACCAAACTGCTCTCCAAAGCAGAAGTAACCGCAAACACTTCCACTAGCAGCACGAGAACGTCTGTGAACCTTCACTCTCACCAACGCTTAACAGTTATCAGTCATCTTCATTTCTACCAACCAAGGACAAGGATCTTCTTGGCCCTCATCCTGATTAGAAAGGTTTGGCATCTTTTCATGTGCTGAGAGGCCTCTTGTTTTTTCTTCTGTGAAATGCCAAATTGTGTCTCCTTGTCATTTTTTTCTTTGTGTGTGTGTGTGTGTGTGTGTGTGTGTGTTTGTGTTTTCAGGAGATGAAGACTCATTCTATTGCCCAGGCTGCAGAACAGTGGTGCCATGATGGCTCACTGCAGCCTCTACCCCCTGGGCTCAAGGAATCCTCCCACCTCAGCCTCTGGAGTAGCTAGAATTACAGGCACACGCCACCGGCCCCAGCTAATTTTTAAATTTTTTCAGGAGCTGGGGTTCTCGCTCTCAAACGATCCTTCTACCTCAGCCTCCCAAAGCGCTGGGATTACGAGCATGAACAACTGGACCTGGTGCCGTCATTTTTTTTAATCGGGTTATTGTCCCCTGCAATGTTTACATGGAGAGATCCTACATCTATTTACTCTGTTAACAGCTAATTCTTTGTTATCTGTATTACAGATGCCTTTTCCCCATTTATGGCTTGACTTTGTTGTTTTCGTTATTGTACTTTACGGGCAGGTTTGCTGCATAGGTATACATGTGCCACGGTGGTTTCCTGCACCCATCAACCCGTCATCCACATTAGGTATTTTTCCTAATGTTATCCCTTCCCAATCCCCCCACCCCCTGCTCTTCCTCCCTTAGCCCCTCACCCCCTGTTAGGCCCCAGTGTGTAATGTTCCCCTCCCTGTGTCCATGTGTTCTCATTGTTCAACTCCCAATTATGCAATATTCGGTTTTCTGTTCCTGTGTCAGTTTGCTGAAAATGATGGTTTCCGGCTTCATCCATGTCCCTGCAAAGAACATGAACTCCTTCTTTATTACGGCTGCGTAAGTATTCCACGGTGCACATGTACCACATTTTCTTTCCCGGCTATCCCTGATGGACATTTGGGTTGGTTCCAGGTCTTTGCTATTGTAAATAGTGCTGCAATAGACATACGGGTGCATGTGTTCAGAAATCGGACCTGCTTCATTAATCTGCATGTCATCCTTGCTCGGAGGCCATGCTAATCTTCTCTGCACTGTTCCAATTTTAGTATAGGTGCTGCCAAGGCGAGCACTATGGCTTGACTTTAGCTTTATTTATGGTGTCTTTTAATGAAAAGAAATCTTAATTGTATTAGGCCGGGCGTGGTGGCTCATGCCTGTAGTCTCAGCTGGGAGGCTGAGGTGGGTGGATCACTTGAGGTCAGGAGTTCGAGACCAGCCTGGCCAACATGGTGAAACCCCCTCTCTACTAAAATACAAAAATTAGCCAGGCATGGTGGCACATGCCTATAGTCCAAGCTACTCGAGAGGCAGAGGTTTCAGTGAGCCCAGATCGTGCCACTGCACTCCAGCCTGGGCAACCAAGTAAGACTCCATCTCAAAAAAAAAAAAAAAAAAAAATTCTGATTAACTTGTGAGTGATGCTGGTAAAAAAGGGACAGTCCCATATATTCAGAAAAACAGACAGCCCTAATTCTATCACAGAAGCAGTGCCAAAAGACTAGTAAATGAGCCACTATGTCAAATTGATAGACATGCTTTCTAAACAAAATCTGAAGAAAGAAATGACATGAACCCTGAGCAGAGCTAGCTGGCAGCCCGTGACCTTCTATATCAATGAGATGGCCACGGGATTGAACTGGCTCCTGGGAAAGCAGGAGACAGACGCCTCAATAGGCACCAGAACCGGTGGACAGACAAGTCTAAGGTTTACTGATGGCCCTTGACTCTCCCAGTGATCAAGAGCCACCAAGAGCAGTCACTTCTGATCTGAAGTGTAAGAGTCCTCTAATCACCTCCGGAAGCAGCTAGGACAATAGAGATGACATCTTAACTCCTTGAATAGGATTTAAATACCTACCTGTCCTGCCTGAGCAAAGAAGGGTTTTGGATTTAGGAAAACCAGCACTGCAGACACATTTCTCACAATCAACTCAGGTAGACAGTAACAACCATCCCTACTGCTGGGCACTCATCTGGCGGACCCCCCTCAGACCAATGCAGCTGTGCGGGAGGGAAGGCACGGAGGTGAGTCAGCCCCAGGTTCCCCACCACTGATGTAACACAGAGGGCAAGAACCTCAAGGTCACCAGGGAAACATTTCTATGTGTAGGACCAAGGTGTCAACCGCAGGGAGGGCAGTTTTTAACTAACAGGCCCTCAACCCAACAGGAACACAACAAATACCAACAATGATAATTCAATGCATCTTTTATGATACTTATCCTTGTAAGCCACCTTAAATCTCTTGTGGAATCAGGTAAGGTGTACAGAAATTTGGCAAACTCAAACGTGATCATAATTTACTAAGTTAAATTATGTCCTAGAATATTAAATTTAAATTATGACTAGTAAGTAATGTCCACAAAAATGGCTCATTTTGGAACTCAAAGTCCGTCCTTCAGCATGCGCAAGTTTTAAAACTGCCAATAACTGTCAGAATCTACACTTTTTAAAGCTTTGGAAACTAAAAATGTGCAGCAATCGGAAGAACACTTAATCAAGAGCAACAGCTGAATCTCAGCAAGAACAGTGAGTCCCACGGCACTTTAACCTTCGCTGGTCCCATGCTGGCTGCAGCAGTGGCCTAGAAGACAACACAGACGGCCGTTCAGGTGCAGGCGCTGGCCCCAGAGGGAGCGGAAGGGGCCTCGTCGGCAAAGAACTGCCATTGTTTGTTTGACCTGTCTATTGACTCCCTGGAAGACTGGCTCAAAGGGCGTGACTTTACCTCCCGGTGCTGAGGCATCTGCTAGGGAAAGCGGGGAAAGGTTATTGGAAACATTTACAGACAGACTTATTTGCTGCTGCCTGAACCACTGGATGACGGTTGAGGCAAACAATAAATTTAACCAAAAGCTTGGGAAGAAAAGCTGAGGAGTAAGACGTTTTAGAAACAAGGGTTTTGAAAATAAGATGTTTTGAAAAGCTCTGACACATTCTTGTAAATCCAGAAGGCTCCACACATGCCCAGGGCTGTACACGTTCAGGAAAGACGTGAAAAAAAGCCGAGGCTTTCACCTCTGGCTGACCTTCAGGTTCTGGACAAGCAGGCAGTGAATGCTAAGGGATCACCATCAAAGGTCCGGCTGTGTTCAGGGCATGCTCCAACACATACACAGACCTCATCTCAAAAGACTGGGAGACATGTTTTGTTCTAGGTAACTTAAAAAAGTCTGTCTAATCACGAGCTGACCACTATGCCAATGGAACAGAGAACTCAGTGCCCACACATGATAAAGAATATATACGATATAAAATTAGCTCAGAAAAGTAACTGTACAAACAATGACTATAAAAAGCAGCCAACGAACCCCGGAGGAGAAGGAAGAGTCATTTCCAGAGTTGCCGCACTATAAATTCAAACTTCTAGTTTTCAGCACAGTATCACAGGGATGCAAAGAAACAAGAAGGCAAGAAACAGAAACTGGTCAAGAGGAAGCCCAGACATTAGACTTACAGATAAAGACTTTAAATATGTTCAAAGAACTAAAGAAAACCAGGCCGGGCGCGGTGGCTCAAGCCTGTAATCCCAGCACTTTGGGAGGCCGAGGCGGGTGGATCACGAGGTCAAGAGACCGAGACCATCCTGGTCAACATGATGAAACCCCGTCTCTACTAAAAGTACAAAAAATTAGCTGGGCGTGGTGGCGCGTGCCTGTAGTCCCAGCTGCTCGGGAGGCTGAGGCAGGAGAATTGCCTGAACTCAGGAGGCGGAGGTTGCGGTGAGCTGAGATCGCGCCATTGCACTCCAGCCTGGGTAACAAGAGCGAAACTCCGTCTCAAAAAAAAAAAAAAAGCAAAAATTAGCTGGGCGTGGTGGTGCATGCCTGTAATTGCAGCTATTCAGGAGGCTGAGGCAGGAGAATTGCCTGAACCCAGGAGGCGGAGGTTGCGGTGAGCCGAGATCACGCCATTGCACTCCAGCCTAGGTAACAAGAGCGAAACTCCGTCCAAAAAAAAGAAAGAACTAAAGAAAACCATGTCCAAAAATCTAAAATATCCATCAGAACAATGTCTCACTGAATAGAGAATATAGATAAAGAAAAAAATATTTTAAAAAAAGAACCAAACAGAAATTCTGGAGTTGAAAAACACGAAAACTGAAATGAAAAATTCACTGCAGGGGCTCAACAGCAGAAATCAACAGACAGCAATAACAATCAGAGAACTTAAAGATAGGAAAATTGAGATTATACAATGTAAGAAAAAATAATGAAGAAAATAAACAGCCTCAGAAACTGGCAGGACACCATCAACTGTACCAACGTATAACATCGTAAGACCTCAGAAAGAGAAAAAAAGAGACAAAAAGAATGTCCGAAGAAATAATGGTAGAAAAGTCTTGCATTTAATGAGAAACATTAATCTGCATACCCAGGAAGCTGAACAAACCCAAAGTTGGATAAATTCAAAGAGCCACACCCAGACACCCTGTAGTCTAACTGTAGAAAGCAGCAAGAGAAAAGTGACTCTTCAAATATAAGGATTTCTCAGTAAGATTAACAATTGATTTCTCATCTAAAGCCATGGAGGCCAGAAGGTGACAAATTAAAGGGCTGAAAGAAAAACATCTGTCAACTAAGAATTCTTTTTTTGTTTTTTGGAGATGGGATCTTAGTCTGTCACCCAGGCTGGCGTGCAGTGGTGCAATCATAGCTCACTGCAGCCTCCAACTCCTGGGCTCAGCAATCCTCCTGCCTCAGTCTCTCTGGGAGCTGGGACTACAGGCCAGCACCACCATGTCTGGCTATTTTTCAACCAAGAATTCTATATCCAGTAAAACTATCTTTCAAAAATAAATGAGATCCTTCCCCCAAAATACTAGAAAACTCCAAGTGAGAGTCATCCCAGGAATGCAAGGTTGGTTCAACACACAAAAACCAATTGATGTAATATATATTAATAGAACAAGAGGGAAAAAACCCTACACAATCAGTTTAATTAATGTAGAAAAAGCACTTGACAAAATCCAACACCCTTTCATGATATAAACACTCAGAATAGTAGGAACAGAAGGAAAGTTCCTAAGCATGATAAAAGGTATCTGTGAAAACCCATATGCATATACACTGGTGAAAAACTGAAAGCTTTCCTCCTAAAAACAGGGACAAGACAAGGATACCTATTTTCATCACTACAAATCAATACTTTACTAGAAGTTCTAGCCAGAGCAGTTAGACAGAAAAAAAAAAAAAGTCCAAATCAGAAAAGAAAGAGTAAATCTGTCTCTATTCACAGATAACATTATCTTATATATAAAAGGTTCCAGAGAAACCACAAGAAAAACAAACTAAGAAATGGATTCATCATAGTTGCAGGGTAAAGATCAACACACAAATATTAGCTGCATTTCTATACACCAGAAAAAAACAAGAAAAAAAAAAAAGAAATTAAAAACACAATTAGATTTACAATAGCATCCAAAATAATAAACTACTCAGAAATAAATTTAACCAAGGAGGCAAAAGACTTTTTCAATAAAAACTACAAACACTCATGAAATAAATTAAGACAAAAATAATTTAGTAAGACATCCCACATAAATAAATTGGAAAACTTAATATTTTGGTAAATACTAACTATGACATTACCAATAATTTATAATGTTTATATCCATAAAATAAATGGCATAAATATTACTAGGTGTGTTTCTGTGAGGATGTTTTGGATGAGATTAACATTTTTTTTTTTTTTAATTTTTTATTGGATTTTAGGTTTTGGGATACATGAGCAGAGCATATAAGACAGTTGCGTAGGAACACACATGGCAGTGTGCTTTTCTTTCCTTCTCCCCTTCACCCACATTTGGCATTTCTCCCCAGGCTATCCCTCCCCACCTCCCCCTCCCACTGGCCCTCCCCTTTTCCCCCCAATAGACCCCAGTGTTTAGTACTCCCCTTTCTGTGTCCATGTGTTCTCATTTTTCATCACCCACCTATGAGTGAGAATATGCGGTGTTTCATTTTCTGTTCTTGTGTCAGTTTGCTGAGGATGACGTTCTCCAGATTCATCCATGTCCCTACAAACGACACAAACTCATCATTTCTGATTGCTGCATAATATTCCATGG